GAAGGAAGTTAAAGTTTATGCATTGAGCATAAACTTTAACTAACATATTTAGCGTTCAGACACCTTTTATTCTGCAAATCCATCACAAATCGTATTAATATAAAACATAATTTCGGTTTCTCAACTCAGTAAAATTAATTTAAATAGTATTCCAACTATCACATAGAGTGAAATGAAGAAACACATACTACAGCGCCATCTAACGAACACACACCGAATTAAATAGTAACTGCTCTTGTATAGCGATATAAATAATTCTCAAGCTGATTAGCAGGTATACTACGGTCGGTCGGAGGATCCCCCCTTTGTGTTGCGAGGGACGTCACCCGTTCATCCACAGTAAGATAAGACCGTAAGTGGTGGGAGGAACGGGTTTCATGCCTCTCCAACACAAAGGGAGGATACTCCGACAAGGCGAGGTGATCATGCATGGCGAACTTACTGGGGACTTCACTACGGAACCGCACAATGCATACAATCTTGACTATCTGGGATCAGCAGCCTTCAGCTCCGACGCACTGGGACTAGAGAAATACAGTTAGGATTCACTTGAACAAGTCACTGAGCATAGACAGCTGACTCATCATATATCGATCTCCGGTCTTAGAGGGGAGTGATGTGGCAACTTCCACATAGAGTGAAACGAAAAAAAACATACAACAGCGCCATCTAACGAACACACACCGAACTTCTTAGTAACTGCTAATCCTGTATGGCGATATAAAGTATTCTCAAGCAAATTAGCATATATACAACTGTCCAACTGTTGGGCCGCGGCCCGCAAGGCATGATCACCTAGCCTGGTTGGAGGATCCTCCCTTTGTGTTGGAGGGACATGACATCCGTTCCTCCACTATAGTATTCTTACCTAAAATATACAATCCTTGCTTACAAATGTCTTCTTATTAAAAAGTTATTAAGGTTTTAAAAATTGTTTTTCACATATCACTAAAATTAAAGAACAAAATTGTGATTTTGACTTTTTTTGGTACTACATAATACATGAACCTGTGTCGATGTAGTATACTTATATTGAATTTAAAACAAGCTTTTTTCATTAATCATCATCATCAGCCTATCGCAGTCTACTTCTGGACATAGGCCTCTTCCATTGCACGCCACTTAGATCGATTTTGGGCTTCTCGCATCCATCTCCTGCCAGCCATCTTGCGCAAATCGTCACTCCACCTGGCCTACGTTTGCCGAGTGGCGGTCTCCACGCAAGAACTCGTTTTCCCCAACGGTTGTCGGTTCAGCGGCTAATATGGCTAGCCTACTGCCACTTCAGCTTACTGATCCGGTAGGCTATGTCGGTGACCTTGGTTCTCCGCCGGGTCACCTCATTCCTGATGCGATCCCTTAGAGAAACACCGAGCATAGCCCTTTCCATAGCACGTTGAGCGACTTTGAACTTATGAACCAGCCGTACTGTAAGCGTCCACGTTTTGGTTCCATATGTCATAACGGGTAGGACGCACTCATTGAAGACTTTCGTTTTAAGGCACTATGGGATCGACGATGAGAAGACTCGACGTAGCTTCCCAAACGCTGCCCAACCCAACTGAATTCTTCTGTTCACCTCGTCCTCGAAGTTGTTTCTACCTAACTGCAATGTCTGCCCGAGGTACAAATATTTTGAGGCCGAGAATCGGTTCCGGTAGTACATGTTCGTTGAACACGACCTTGTTTTTATCCAAGTTCATCCGTAGGCCGATGCGTACAGAAGAGTCAGCTAGGTCATTCAGTATTTGCTGTAGGTCCTGCAGCTTCCCTGCCATGATGACGATGTCGTCTGCAAATCGCAAGTATTCGCCATTTATATTGATGCCACGCCATTTCCAGTGCAGCGTCTTGAACATGTCCTCCATTGCAATGTGAACAACTTCGGGGAAATAACGTCCCCTTGTCTCACTCCTCGATGCAACGGTGTGGGCCTTGTTTGCTGATTCTGTACTTGCACGGACATGGTGGCGGCTTCGTAGAGACATTTCATCACTTGGATGTATCGAGAATCTACTTGGCAATGCTGCAGGGACTCCAGAACTTTAAATTAATATTTTAACTATATAATCGGTATCAGTATATCATAACCGGTTAACCAAATTTGTCATTTTTTGAAAAAGGTAACTTTTTTTATCGTTTAAATTCTACATCTTATTTGCCAATTTTTTTTTGATTAATTAAATCAATCTGTGAATCAAAATGTGTTCATTATTTGTCGTGATCAACGTGCTCTTTCAATTAGTTAAATTAAAGTATTATTTTATAACCATAATTAATTAACACATAATAATACATTACTTAATTAATTTGTTAGACTATCTATTGGCAATTTTAGCAAATTGCTATCGCGCTCCATAATATCTTATCCTTTTCATAAAGGAGTTGTAAACAAATAGTTTTTTATTCTTGAAAAATTCCAGTAGCAATGAATCAAATATTGTTATAGAATTCCTAAGAACTAATATTATAATTTATAAAACGAAATTTTGATTAGACATTTTGAGAAAAAATTGTTTCTACTTCAGTACACTTTTTAGGCCGAATACGAACAAAACTTTTGCTACCGATGCTCAAGGAAAATTAAATGACAAGTTTGACAATTGTCTCTGATGCGTCAAGCTTGACAGATGGATGACGTTTTTGTTTTCATTTTTGTTTACTTTGAGTATGCTATAAATAATTCTGAGATTTCTACAAATATAAAAATAGACTATGTCACATTCAGACAAAAACATTACCTCCTATTGATTTATCTTGTGAATTAACAATATTATATACTATATTTAGTATCGACCCCTCCAATAAGAATATCCACTAACATAAAATAACTATTAGGTTTTCTCTTAAAGCAGGATTTAAACATTATTATTTTACTAGTTCCTAAATCTTAATTTGGGAGGGATTGAGCCATAACGGATTTTACTCAGAATAAAAAACCCATGTCCATACAAAAGGACATCTCCTTTTATCAAATCATTTATATTTTATGTATATAAAAATATTAACAGTAGTATTACAAGGATGCATACCGGCCTAGTATACAACGTAAATACGCGCACAGGACAGGGGCGAATCCAGAGGGGGTCACGGGGTCATAACCCAAATGCTGGGGTCTAGTCTAGCTCGTACGATTTTGAGTAGGTAATCAAACTGGAGATTGTGGCGAGTCCTGATTACATAAAAGTGAGCCCCTCTGAGTTAAAAGCCCCTTTGTGATGCGGGTTTGACATAAAATAATTAATTCGCTCGTTAAATATAATTATTCACTACATTTAAAGCTAACACGATGCTCATAAGAATGGGGTAGTTGACTATCAAGTCAAACAGTATCTTTTTATTAAACGTCAAATCGATGGATGCCACGTAAATTTGGAACAATTACTTACAAAAGTTGTAAGAAATCTCACTGAGATATCTTTATTTACAAGTCACTATATTAGTGTCCCAACTAGTTGATATCATTATTTAATATTTTTATTATTATATTATATTTACATCCATATATTACGTCACTGGAATTTCATGCGTCAACCCTCCAGTACTTCTGTTTAATTATTATTTTTATGATAGAGGGCGCAGACTAGCAGACGGGTCGTTTACATTTTGTTTATACTTACACAAAGGCACACCTATTTTAACAAATATAAATAAATATATGTATCAACCACAAATTGTTTTTAGAAGCGCTGGCATTTTTATATATATCTCCTATACAACAAATTTAACTACAGTGAGCCATCGTCTAGGTTTAACAATACTAGAGATTAAATGGTTAACAACCTAGCAATATTTTATGGAATATAACTAATGGGTGTTAACAATGTCATAAACATCCACTGTGTCAATATCTTTTCATCCAAGACTAGCTGATGCCCGCGACTTCGTTCGCGTGGAATTTGAAAAGCGTTGCCTTAGTGAGGTCGATTCCCGGACCAGGCAAAATAGCCTAAGTTAGTCCTTATATAGACTTAGTAGCTACTTAGTAGTCAAATATTATCAAAATCGGTCCAGCCGTTTTTAAGATTACGCGGAACAAACAGACAGACAAAAATATTTTAAACTGGTTTTTATGCCTAGGTCTGGTGCAAATAACCGTGTAACTATGAAAAAACCTATTATTTTGACATTACAAACAGACACTTCAATTTTTTTATTTATTTGTATTGAAAATACGAAAGTTTAAAGAAGAAAATGATTGTTGAATAAAAAGATTCATTTTTTCTTTTATCAAACAAAAACAAATCCCCATTAAACGTTGAAATGTTCGCTTTCCCCTTGTCCCCCGTGTGACATAATTTATGGTCGACCGCTTATTGACTTCACTCTGCTTGAAAAGACATCTCTTTGGATGTCTTTTCAGGTTTAACAACAAATATTTTAAATTTAGTTCAACAATTGAAATCTGCTTGTAATAAACATTCAAGAACAGCAATTCGGCGGTCCTACATCATAGACTAGTTAAATATAGATTTTGTCGAGTCGTACGACCATTTAAACATGACTTCTTTTGTGGATAAAAGGTATCCTGCGTACTTTTCTAGTGTGCTAATGAAATGCTCTAACAAAGAAACAAAATAACACTATCACACTAATATCGTACAGACGAAAGTTTATGTGTGTGTGGCGAAACGGCTGGACCGATTTTGATTAAATCTGACATTAAGGTACATAGCTGATACCTTGGATTAACATATAAGCTACTCTTAATACCGAAAAAAATAATGTTCCCGTGGGATGAGCAAGGAACTGAAATATATTTGATAAACTACTGGCAACACCGCGGGGCATAGCTAGTCATTCATATTTATAACGTTAGTATTATAACGTTAGCAAGGAATATGTGCCGTATCGCCTACATTATCCTACGTACAACTACGGTCAGTCTTAATTCAGTTATTTGCGATCTTGAAATACGCCTGGGCCTCTTTTTGGTCACGAAAAAACTTTGACAACCTCTGTTTTTGTACGTCATTGTAGTTTTTGTTCGTTAACCTTACTTCGTCTAACAGTTTGTGGACCGCCCTGTTGTTGGGCGATATTTTTTCAGCTTGTTTCAAGTCCATGAGAGCGTCGTCGTAGTTTTTGAGAGCGTAGTTCGCTTGACCGCGCCTGTATAAGGCCTTTTCGTTTCTAGGATCTAATTCCAGCACCTGAAATGATCAAAAATAGTAGTATTATATTGTGTTGAAGCTAAATTAAGTCCGTGTGGTAACAGATTAAGAATAAGGGTTCACCACCCCTATTCATGCCATAGCTGTAAGAGCGAACGGAGGGAGCAAACTACGCAGGACACCAGCACTGCAAAGAAAGGGATCGGTCTGACCAGCGTGGTATAGTAGGCCAAAACCTTTTTAAGGTGAGGCCTATGTCCAGCAGTGGACTATTAAAGGCTGACGATCTAATGTATATAACACAACAACAAAAAAAAAGGGAATAATGCCAACACCATTATCAACCCAAGGTTTGGCTCCAGTATCAGGTCAAGGATACCGTGCCATGGAAATACCACTAATGTCCAGCAGTGGACTATAGTGGACAGGTTGGTATAGGGTTTGTGTACAGTTTTCCTTCTCTCTACAGTGCTTTTTTTCTGCGTAGTTTTCTCCCTTAGTTGGCTCTTATTACACCCACGGAATGAATAGGTGTGGTGACGCTCCGTATTCTTAATCCGTCACCACACGCCAAAAGCTACTTACTTCGGTACAAAAGTTTACACAAGCTCTATAATCCTCCAACTTCATGTAGCACGCCGCCAAATTCAGATTGCATTGTAATAAGTACGTTGTTCTAATTTCTTGCACTGTGGATAAAAATAACTTCATTAATTAACCATGTTTGATTAAAACCAAAACCATAATACCTCACCTTACACCCCACAATTCTAGGTCAACCGAAAGTACCCTATAGGTTTTGGATCGAAAACCTATATGGTAGTTCCCGTTGACCTAGAAGCACGAAATTTGGCAAAAAGCTAGGTCTTACAGCACAAATAAAGGAAATATTCCAAAAACAAAAAAAAAAGTTGAAAATGGAAGGGTCAAATATGATAAATAAATAAAATTGTGGTATTGTGTGAAAGAAAATAAAAGAAATTAGGCAAAAGTAACACACACTTAAAACTTAGCCACCAATAAAAATGATACCAATTTTATTGTGGCGGTATCACTCGTGCGCCGAGGGTTCCGTACCTACCCAGGTACGGAACCCTCGTCTCACGAGTTCGACTCGCACTTGACCGGTTTTTGTCACTACATCTTCCTTGAATCACACCGTATTCTCCTCTGATTCGTCACTCTATTGGTCAACCATTAATTTTACTTTCATATTTCTCCTGCCATACAGTACAGTCAGTGCAAACATCTCATGAACTGTCAGACATGTTTTGACTTTAAAACTCTACATTATTTTGTAAATTGGTCTCATCAATATCAAAGCATCAAACAGGGTCTGTTAGTGTTTTATTAAATACATTTCTCTATCTAAATAAAAAAATCTACTAGCTGGACCTTCCACGCTTCATTATGGTACATGGCTGTACAATTGGTGAAAATGAGGAACAAAAGAAACGCGTAAAATAGATAAAAACAATCATGTCAAATATGCTTAATCGGTGCAAAGATTTACGAGTCTTTGAAACTAATATTTTCGGACATTGAACCACAACGCCATCTAGTATCAAACTAAGCAGAGATTGTACTATAAAACCTAAATTGACTGATAGAATAATGATATACTTTTGTTTTTGTAAATACATACATTTTATACATAGAAAATATAAAATATAATAATCACTCACAGTGTTCCCGCGTTTCAGTCTCCTTTATATTCTCTGTGTCATTAAAAACGTGGTTCAAATACCTCAGGCACTTTTGGTACTTTCTAACGGCTGATTTGTATTCGCCGTCGCCAAAAAAACAATTACCTACATTTTTTATATCCTTTATACACGATATTAATTCAGCTACCTGCAAAAAAGGTTCAATATAATTATGTACAAGTCGTGGATAAATTAAAGATTTGGTAACTTCATAAAATAGTCGGTCAAATCATAAAATACCGTGGGAGATGCCATGATTCGGCAAATAATGTAAAAGCTTCACAAAAAACCGGCGTTTATTGGCAAAAAAACCGGCTTAACTTTCAGCCCGTCTGGTCGTCACGGTATATTAGGCTATAACCTTCTTTCTAAAGAGAGGCCTTGGACTTTAGTAGTCTTGGGCTGGGACTTTGGCTGTTGATAATGACGGTGACAGCCTTATTATAATTTTTAAACCCTCGCAACCGGTCTTTGGATCTATTACTAATATTCATTGAACCACGGTATCAATACAATTTACGATACAAAACTTACACTGATATTGTGATCCTGGTGATCTGAAGGATACTCGGGCAGGCAGTCGGCAGTACCGTCCCGGCAGCACACGTCCCAACTACTAGTTAAAATCTCGCCACAGTCTTGTATCACACAATCCTGTTAAAATATTAGTTATTATTCTTTTAGACTTTTTAGACGCATTTAGTACTTTTCAACTGTAAATAATTATATAATATGCCAATGTGTGTATTAATTCTAAGTATTGGTAAGCCATAGGACTGAGTGGCTTTTGTGTTGTGTCCGGAGGACAGCGCCATCTAGTATCAAGTGGGGCACAACGCTACGCATTGAGATTATGGCTCTTAATTCCGATACTTACATCTAGTGTCAAATATGGGAAGATTATAGAAATTTGTAGATACCTTATTGTACGTGGTTTTGTCTGGATTAGTCTAGTAATTTCGATAGCACTATAAAAGCGGAACAGTATCGTTTTACAACACAGCGAGTTATATACTCCTAGTGATTTCTTCTTTGTAATAGTGAGTGTTTGTAAATACAGTGCAATAAAAGTAATTAACAGACAACTTTTATTTATTGTTTTAAATTAACTTAACAGTATTTTACATCTGTGTTGCGAGTCGACGACTAATAATACAATGAAGGTAAAGATTGTATCTATCTATATGAATACAATACATTTTATAAAACAAATTATGTCTATTTAGGATAAACTCAAAACCTGAACGGATTTTAATGTGGTTTTCACTAATAGACAGATAGATTCGTGAGGAAGATTTTGGTGTATTCTTCGTTGAGGTTTTGTGTACATTGATGATAATATTAAACACATTCGTCGCACTACATATTGCACATATTCAACGCAACAAATGTAGGCACTCACTCACACACACTATTACAAACTATCGCGTAAAGAATTTAAAGCGCCAAAATTTTATTAAAATTCATGATTCCTTAAAGCACGGGCAAAGAGATCATCTTTTTAAATCTATTTTGTTAAGCTAAATCAATTATATTTCGTATAAAACACCTTTTTGTAACACGCTGTATTAGTGTATACAACACTTAAAAGGTTAAGTTTCTAAATTTAAACGTATAGTATAAGATAATTTTAGCGTTTGTAATAAAACTTCTTAACTCACTGACAATCTATTGTCGTCTAACCTCACAATACAGATATCGGAACTGAATACTAACTTTGACTACACTTATCTCTGAAACTACTGATTGGATTTTAAACTGTATCGCGTATAAATTGCACAAAACAATAGAATAGAATAATAATGATTACATAAAGCACAGCATACAAAAATAAAACAAAAGTTAAAAACAACATACACAAAGAAACTAAAAATCAAGGAAGGTTTGATAACGGCAACATTTTTCAATGTGTCAATCTTTCATTTCTGACAGAACTGACATGACACGTCAATGTGCCACGTATCCAACCTTGCTTGTATAAAATTTTACTTATAATAACTATGTTAGGACTTATCAACAAATACTTATCAACCTGTGCACCATAAAAAACCTTTAATGTTGATGAGGATTGTACGCCGTGCTTCAGAAAATAGTACTTAGTACTAATATAATACTTGGGTACTTAGTAAAATAACAAATAAAAAATAGTTGATAATCACCAACATACCACCGTGGGCCGGCCGTGTTCAGAGTCGCCGTAGCGCTGGATCTCTCGAACAATGCCGATACCCGCTAACACACGGCCGAAGACAACATTCGTCCCGTCCAAATGGTAACAGGTCTCTGTCGTTATGCAAAACTGCGAGCCATTCGTGTGAGGTGTACCGCTGTTCGCCATGCTTAGTACACCTTGCTCGTGCTGTTAAAACCAAAATAATACTTAGGTACATATTTTATTATACTTTTTTAGGGTTCCGTATCCAAAGGGTTAAACGGGACCCTATTTCTAAGACTCTGCTGTCCGTCCGTCCGTACGTCCGTCTGTCTGTCTGTCTGTCCTTCTGTCACCAGGCTGTATCTCATTAACCGTGATCGTTAGACAGTTGAAGTTGTATTTCCGTTGCCACTGTAAAAACAAATACTAAAAACAGAACAAAATAAATATTTAAGTGGGGCTCCCATACAACAGACATGTTTTTTTGCCGTTTTTACGGTTCCGTCCCCTAAGGGTAAAAAGGAATCCTATTACTAAGACTCCGCTGTCCGTCCGTCCATCTGTCTGTCTGTCCGTCTATCACCAGGCTGTATCTCATGAACTGTGATAGCTAGACAGTGGGAATTTTCACAGATGATGTATTTCAGTTGCTGCTATAACACCAAATACTTAAAACAGAATAAAATAAATATTTAAGTGGGGCTCCCATCAGATACATACAATCACTACAACGCACATGATTTTTTTGCCATTTTTATAGACAATGTTACGGAACCCTTCGTGCGCGAGTCCGACTCGCACTTAGCAGGTTTTTTTTATTGTCTTTGATGCTTCTTGCATTGATGAAGTTGATGTTTGTTTAAATATAGAACAAAAGCATAGGGGGTTTAAATTTTTTGGAGCATTTAGATTGGCTTCCAAGGACATAATAAATGATGGAAAAGACATACTGTAACATATCATTAGAATGCGTTTCGTTTTCGAACAAATTTGTGAGACGATAGGTGAGTCGCTTATTATTAAAATTATTTAAAACTAGCTGAGACCCGCGGTGTTACCCGCGTTTGTTGTTATAACCGCCTGCAAAGCCGCGGGGCGAAGCTAGTCTAAAAAAAGTAGGCTAAGTTACTCCTTATGTCATCAGCTATCTGCCAGTGAAAGTCCCGTCGAAATCGGTCCAGCCGTTCCAGAGATTACCCGGAACAAACAGACAGACAGACAGACAAACAAAAATTGTAAAAAATGTTATTTTGGCATATGTATCGTGTACATACCATTTTTGTCTGTCTGTCTGTTTGTTCCGGGTAATCTCTAGAACGGCTGGACCGATTTCGACGGGACTTTCACTGGCAGATAGCTGATGACATAAGGAGTAACTTAGACTACTTTTTTAGACTAGCTTCGCCCCGCGGCGTTGCCCGCGGTTATAACAACAAACGCGGGTAACACCGCGGGTCTCAGCTAGTTTTTAATAAAAAAGAAACTGCGTTTAAAACACACCCAGCAACTAAGAAGCAAAAACTAGTTGGTATTTACATACGATATCGTTGCCAAACCTATAAATCAAATTTTTATTACCATTCCAGTACAAAAATCAACTGAACTAAACACTCACTTATCTAACTATTAATCTAACGAGTAACTATTTTAATACCTTTACAATTAATAATTAGCTTTTTACACAATCACAATGTGACAATTCTTGTCTAAACCTGTTATCTATTAATTTAAATAATCATCACCAACAGCCTTTAACAGTCCACTGCTGGACATAAGCCTCTACTTAGAAAGGAGGTTTTGGCCTTGGTGTTGGTTGGTATTTAAATAATATGTTATATGTATTAGACACCTACTGATGTGTTTGAAGTCGGTGCCAAGTCCAAAAATAACGAAATACTTATTCTCAAATAATAACAAGAACAAGTGAGGTGAGACAGTGAGGTTTCGAAGTAAACGAAAATATCATCGATGTATATTTTTTTTCAATTATTGTTGATTATTCATAAATAGCTAGACCGATTTCGATAAAAATTTAATGGGATCACCTGAGATCACCTTTTAAAACAAAAAATTATTTTCCAATTCGGTTCTGTCATCTTCGAGTAATCGGTGAACAAAGATTGAAAAAAAGATTTCGGCGAATTAAGATTCTCCTCCTTTTTTGAAGTCGGTTAAAAATATATTTAAAATGAAAACGGAGAAAAACGAAGATTAAAATGAAAACAGGAAAAGGGAGAAGAGAATTTTCTATGTAACTGATGAAGTTTTAAAATTGAATTAAAATACATATATTTCTAATTTGTTTGGACAGCCAATAAAGTTACTGGCAAAGCTATCCTTTTTATTCTGTGCGGAAATCCCCTCGGATGCCACTCACCGGTGGTTATGTCGGACTCGAACCGACCAAAAAACCGCATTCCCGCTCACCCGGGTACCAGTAGCCGGGGATCCAGGTGTACCCTAGGAAGGAAATCCCTGGTACCCCGATGGACACCGGGCCATCTACGGCTTGTAGATGACCCCCTCGTATGTGGGCACTACGTTGTTCCCGTTCTGCAATTTAAAGGGCGTGCGCGCTCCACAGCGCGTCGCACTGTCAATCCGCAGCGCGTCTCGCCGCCACCCCGGCCTGCTTCTGCTAGGGTGACAGATGGCCTCACCTGACACCCCCAGGCCTGCGCCTATGGAGGATGGAGGTGGATCTGCGCCCTCCGACGCCTGAGTCGTCTGCGGTAACTGTCATGTTCCCAGGCCTGGCGAACCGGGAGATTTCTAAATCTCTCGCGGTCTCGCTCTGCTGGCTCCTTCGCAAGCATAATTTACTTACAGAAGTGGTGGTTAAGGTTCTCAACTGCACTGAGATAGGTGCGAGTACGACTCCAACCAGTTCGCTTCAGTGTGAGATCGATTCCAACATATTTTTCTTCACTGGTGTGAGTTCGATTCCAACCTAGTTCGCTTCACTAGCACTACGCATCTCGAGCGACGGCTCCGTATGACATTTTTTATTTTAACTAATATATAACTCCTTGATGACATAGGCATTTCATCCCACCTGCTGTTTGACTCGGCCTCAAGTGCACAGAAGCACTTCTATACATACAAAGTTTTTCTACTATTGGATAAATATAAAAATAACCAACACTGCATATTTTTTTTTTAATATTCTGTCACTGTCATACGATAAAATTTTGTTTATTGTGTTGTAATAAACTAGTCTAGATACGAAACATTTTATCAATGTCATTGTTGACGTATTCATGTAAATAAATAACTCAAAGGGACACAACTTCCTGAGTAAATGCGTAAACCGTGAATATATGTAATCTGAACTCATAGAAACTTAAATTCGAGTGCACTTTTAGCGCTTACAGCGACCAAATCGATTTTCTACCGAGGCCTCTAGTGTGTTTAAGGAAATCGAACAAAAATTAGCGGTAATACAAAAACAGTTTCTAGTTTAAGGTTTTCTAAGTAATCCTACTGAGACAAATCATCGCGCAATACTAAACACGTGACATATGAGCCATCACCGGGCCATTAAATCACCTCAGCTTCGACCATTCGCGTCTCTATGTAATAATCAGCCTTTTTGCGAATAATAGCAGTCATTATAACTATATGCATACATAATTATTTACATCCATTAAGTTTATTCTTGACTTGATATGTTTATTTTATGTTAATTATTACCTTTAATTTAAAATTTTCATCCTTAAATGTAGGCCCGTATATGCTTTCACCGCCGCTTCCATCATTGTTGATAATGTCGCCGCCCTGGATCATGAATTGTGAGATAGCTAAAACAATAGTTAACGAGTATTGTCAGTGGTAATAATATCTGACACATCACGTCTGATCCCGTCTGATCCCGAACTGGCTGAGCTTGACTATTTCTCAGTACAGACTAATCCATCCTTCCATCTTTTATTATAAATGTGAAAGTGAGTTTGTTTGTTACGCTTTCACACCTAAACCGCTAACCTGAATTTATTTTTATTTATTTATTTATTTTTACACTTCCTGCATTACAGTTTGCACGAGGCGGACTTAATGCCACATGGCATTATCTACCAGTCAAAAGTCAAATTTAAAAATTCTTTCACCGATGAAAAGCTTGCATTATCAGCTAGTAACATAGGCTAATTTATGATGGCTGGCTGAGGCTGAGTGGGATGACCAACAGGCCCTCTTTAAATAAGATACCCTCTATAATAACTATTTCTTTTCCAGCCATAGGAAATTGTTTCTTGGTGAAGTAAAAATAAAATCAGCCACATACTGGTTGAGATTGTTCATACAATATTATTAAGTATCTGTTTCTTACCTTTATGAAACTTAGTGCCTTTAAAATGTAAAGGTTTTCCATAAGCACCTCTGCCCTTTTCCCCTGTACACAATGCTCGAAAATTCTCAGCTGTTTTAGGCACAATATCACTTCTTAGTTTTATCACAATACGTCCGGCTAGAACAAAGAAACCTAATAAATCAAACAAATAAAAGTTTTTTTATTTACCAAAACATATAATTAACGTGGAAAATTAATGGTAATAGAACAACTGTCCTAGTGTTTGGTTTGTGGCAGCACAGGTGACAACAGCTGTTTGTAAGTTTTCCCGTTTTACATTTAATTTAGAATTAAATGTGATCTAAACGTCGAAGTCCCTAATTTGTGACTAAACTTAACCAAAAGTTAATAATAATGTTTTAACATTAATTTTTGTGCATAGAATTGTGATTTTATAGTGTTTTAAGAGCTTCGATGGGTCGGTGACTTGCATACAATTTCAGTTTGAAACACGTAACGTATAATATTGATTGTATGTATTTGTAAGTCATTGTCTTATTTTTCAAGGTAATTTCAGTATTATATTTCTTACAATACTAGTACATGAGTATAGTGAGAAGAAAATAAACAATAAATATTGACACTTTTACCCTTACATGAACTTTGACGCTGTTCAAACAACCCCTTGTTAGATAGATACCTGTTTATTACATTTAATTTTATTGTAATGCATAGAATGACAATGATGACTCACAGCAAGGCTCGTAACGAAAGCAGATATTTCAATCGGAACCTACTTTTTTGTCCCGCAGCAGGCTACCGGCCATAAAGAAACCAGCCACCTTGCAGAACCAGAAAAGTCTTTGGAATGTTACCCAAACGGCGCGCCGTCCCCAGGTAATGTTGGTATGAGGTGGTGGTTAAAAGATGGTAAATGAGTCAGTAAAAGGGGTTTTTAACGAAATTTGATATACCGACATAATGTCTAATGACGACCTGATGACATGGTGGTTTGTGTTACGGACTGCTATTCCAAAGGTCGCGGGTTCGATTCCCGATCAAGTCAAACATTTGTGTGCATGAACATTTAATTGATTGATTTGGTCTAGGTATTTCTATGTATAATATGTATGTATTTAGAAAAAAAAAGTGTATAATAAATGTATTTATATCAGTTGTCTATTGCCAAAGGTACAAGTAGTTGGTACTAAATGGCGATCTGTGAATGTGGTAAAAAAAAAACAGCCTAGTTTCTTTGCGCCGCCGCACGGTGGACGGAAAATCGGCTTTCATAGACTTAGGGATTTCAATTTGCAAGTGCCATATTTTTTGACGGATATCGCTTCTATTAGTTATTACTACTTTGATATAGGATATCGCTTCTATTAGTTATTACTACATATACAAAATGTATGTAAAATGTAATATGACACCCGAGTTAATTCTGCACAAAGACGAAGGAATTAGTATTTTTTACGAAAAATTTGTATGAAGCTAGTGTAATTTTTTTTTATTAAACGGCAATAAAAACCGTAATATCCTCACAAGTGGTTATAGTATTAGGTATTTATGTTTTTTTGTCGTACTCCATATAATGGTTTTCGTTGCTATTTTTTTCCTACTACAATAATAATTATATTATAATATATATAATTATAATTCCTAAAACGGAAGTAAAATTATATATAAAATATATAATTATACTTCCGTTTAGATGTCAGTAATGTACAGTTAATGACTTTAAATATTTTGATTAAATAAATATGTTACATCTTAGAATAAAACGAGTTTCAATTTTTCAGTACAAATCGGCAATTTCATACTTTAACTCCTAATATTTTATCATATTATCTCAAAATCTGTGGCTATAGGAATTATGTATAAGAAAATTGTAATAATGAAAACTGTTTGTTTAAAACAATAGTTTGCCTGTGAATGACCATGACCCAAATACATTTCCACTCATATCACATATCCACTCATACAAAAACACCGTGTATTATACGAAACCACAAAGACAATTCATTGAGGTAAACAGTCAATGTTACAGAACTGGTAAATTATACAGAAATTTCATAAATGACTAACAAAACATATTTTGTAGTTAAAAATAACTTTATTTTTATTCAATTGATTCATGATTATACATCAGAATGGCCATTTATCAAGATGTCAAACCGACCTCGGACCACTCAAGCTTTGTATAATAGGGAATATGCATAGGGAATATATGAATAATATGAGACTCCAAAATAGACAAAATATTTTTATTTGTGAACTTTATTGCTAAAAGATATACCTAAGTTTGTAATATTTTTTGTTTGTAATAATTTATCATAATTTAATAGTAAATTTTATAATAATTTAATCATCGGTCCTTTTTTAAATTTCTTCACACATTTCCAAAACGCAACGCTATTAGTGGAACAAAACGTGACGTCAATTTACATTCGACGACTTCTGTCAACAATTTGTTTGTATGCTTTTTGGTGATTATTATTTTGTATTGTTTCGCGGTTGTTTCATATTAAGTTATTAGTTTTCTGTCTTAAAGTTAATATTAGTTATATGAAATTAGCGTTTTGTCGTACTGACCACTTTGATCTGAAATATCTGCTCTTTGGTTAAGAATTCTAAATTCAAATTTATAAATTCATTTAGCTGGTACATTTGAGTTTTGAAAACAGTCATTAATTTGTTTTTTTCCTCATTATTTTTTTACGTGTACGAGATATACCGTGGCACCAGTGCTGCAGAAACAGCTCGAAGGATTAATGATGTGTACGGCGCTGGTGTCGCAAAACAAAACACGGTACGTTTTTGGTTTCAACGTTTCCGTTCTGGAAATTTAGACCAAATTGGAAAATAAAGAATTAAAGGCAATTGTGGAAGCGGATCCATCACAAAGCACTTCAGAGATAGTTGCAGGCTTCAGGGTAAGTGATAAAACTGTATTAATCCACTGAATTGAGTGAATCGAACTTGCAAACACACGTCGACTGCTGCGTTACTTTACTCAAACGACAGAATGATGAAGGAATTTTAAATGGAATCATTATTTGTGATGAAAAGTGGATACTGTACGATAATCGGAAGCGCTCGTCGCAATGGCTGAACCCTGGAGACCCACCCAAATCCTGCCCTAAACGAAAATTTACTCAAAAAATTTTACTTGTGAGTGTTTGGTGGACTAGAGCCGGTGTCGTTCACTACAGCTTTCTAAAATCTGGCCAAACGATTACGGCAGATATCTATTGTCAGCAACTGCAAACCATGAAGGAAGAACTAGCTGCTAAACAACCGAGATTGGTCAATCGCTCTAGGCCACTGCTGCTTCACGACAACGCAAGACCACACACTGCACAACAAACAACCACTAAGTTAGATGAGCTACAATTGGAATGTCTGCACATCCACCGTACTCCCCGGACCTTGCTCCAACAGATTACTATTTGTTCCGGAATTTGGACAACTTCTTACAAGGAAAAAAATTCAACTCCCAACAGGCAATCCAAACCGCCTTCAAAGAGTTTATTGATTCTCGCCCCCATGTTTTCTTTTAGTAAAGGGATCAATGAACTACCTATGCGATGGCAAAAGTGCATAGATAACAACGGTGAATACTTTGATTAATAAAATATATTTTACAAAACAAAAATTGACTTTATATTCTACCCGTACAAAACGCCAATTTCATAGGTAAGGACCTAATCCAATGAATGAAACCGGTGTTGTCAAAGGTTGATCAGATATTCTTCCTAAAATAGACGTGTTTATGATGATCATTAATTGTTTATTACATATAAGTTTCTGTATCCTTTTCAATCTGAAACCCAGAAAAAATTATAAAGGTAAATAAAAATAGTTTTCAAACTTTCATTTTGCACTAATAAGTTACATGTTTTCATTCATAGGCAATAACTTTTCGTAAACCTAATCTTTACAACAGTATAGACAGCTCAAACACGATACATTGTCTCTTCTCATCGCCTTGCACCACTTTTTCCTTATACCTGCATCTTTCGGCATCAGGAAATATACTTTGTCAGGTGCAGTTTTTATGTTATTTTGGCACGTAGGTAGGAACGACACAAAGCCCATACGTGTAAAAATATGGCTCCTCCTACACCAAGCTGAGTCTTCACTGTAATTGCCATCAAGACAGGCATATTTTTTTTTAGAATGCTTTAGATAGCTGTCCTAGAAACAAGCAAAATTACTTTATTATTTTATGAAAACCTTAGCTTTTTACTCTAATTGATTTCAACATTTTTTTACAGTGAGGAGGAGGAGTGGGACAACCTGAACCCTTAAAAGAACCCATACTAATAGATTTTTTGTAAGGGCGGCACAAAGATTACGAGACAACCAGAGTACCTACTTTTTTAAGGAGTGACGTACTGCCGGATCCCAAGCTACTCAAGCATTCCCGAAATAAACACGAATCGTATTTTTAATAAATTGATTTCCAAAAGCAAGTGAAGAAGTGATTTGTAGGTAGGTAATAAGACTGTAAGTACGCCAGCTCGTCGCGCCGGCGGCGTCGCTTTGATGTCGCCGACATTGCGACGCTTTCGTCTACAGTTCAGCGACTCATGTTAACAATAGTGTTCTAATTCGGCAATTATTTTCTTGTATTTATTTTGTTCTAAATTTGGATTTCTGTATTTTCATACTAGTTTTTTATATTTATTTTAACCGATGTATATTGAACCGTGTTATATGTTATTTCATTCTTTGTTATTACTTTTAGGACACACGTGTTATATATATAACACGTGTTTTATTATAAATGCGAAAATGTGTCTGTCTGTCTGTTACCTTTTCACGATTAAACCGCTGAACCGATTTAGATTAAATTTGGCATAGAAATAGTTCGAGCCCCGGGAAAGGACATAGGATAGTTTTTATCCTAGAAATCACCCTTTAGGTTCCTAAGGCACCTAAGTTTTTATGGGCAATCAACAACTGCTGAAACGATTTAGATGAAATTTGGTATGGAGATAGTTTGATTGTTGAGACAGGACATAGGATGATTTATTACCGCAATAAGCGATATACACGCGGGCGGAGCCGCGGGCAAAAGCTAGTATAATATGTGTGATTTATGTCTTTTATCCTGGTTTCTTTAAATTGAGGACCATATTAAGCCCCTGAGACCATATTATGCAGTCAGTCCTGGTTGCCGTACCAACATCTGAGGCAATCATTACGGGTCGTTGGAGCCTTAAAGTCGGACAATAGTCTATTTAGAGAATTTCAATATCGCTTAGTACTTGAGTTGTAGACGTCTGATAGCAGTTACTGTTTACTAATACTGGTATGGTACTAGTTACTGGTATGGAACCAGTTACCATGTCAAAAATCGAAGTTCAGCTGTGTCATAGCAGAGTAAATTTTAGGATATGGTTTCTACCGAGTGTTTGGTTATTATGACTTAGTACCGACTCCTTTCTCTGCTTGTCTGCAAGCTACAATGGATAAACATACGGTGAAGATTTATTCAGCAAAAACATGCTTTTGTAACTAGCCCAAAGTACAAAATAATTTTCTTAGAGTTCAAAAAGAAAAATCATTTTATTGTAAAAATGCATACTATTTTTGTTTTGGAACTTATAGAAAATTATTTTCTAGTTTTTAGTTCAACTAGTTTTTGAGTCTAAATGCGCAAATTGAAGACCGCAAAAGCATGTCTTTTAGTAACTATAATTTGCTTTTGACTTTTTTAGTTCAGTAAGCGACATTGCGGAGATGGTGCTAGAGAGTAAGATGAGGTGGTATGGACAGACATGTCCATGTCCTCATCTGCTAATCTAGTGTTCTAGATTAGTTCTATTCCGTTGGACATCCTGACAAGGACACTAGATTAGCAGATAGGCACTAGAACTATCAGTTCCCAGAGCACGCTCTCAAGGAGGGCCCAAGACCACATGGACAGATGTGTTGCAGGGAGATATGAAGGCATGCAATGTTTCGGAGGGCGATGTCACGGACAGGGTGAAGTGGAATAAGTACACAAAGAGGGCTTAATGTTGGCCTGCTTCTATTAAAAATATTATATATTAATAAATAAGCATAACTTTATGATTCAGTGTTTAATACCTATTAGAATCCTAGTGGAAATTTTTAAAACAATACATTAATATATAGGTATCAAAGCAAATGCATTATGAATAGATGTCTGGACTATGGCAAGGTCAGTGCAGTTATCTATGTAATAATTATAATAATACTGTTTCCATACATACACACTTATTTGAAAAACACACTGCTTCATACTGCCTATACATGACTAGTAACACTCATTCCTATTTAAAATTACATCTACATTAATACATAATTGACCTTTTCGAAATGATAACAGCATTGTGATCTATACTACTTTAAGTTATAATATAAAACTTTGGTTTCATTCGCGAAAACATTAAATTAATTACAAAAATGTTTTTATCTTATGATATACTTTTAAGTTAATTGAGATTTAACTCAGCAAAAATCAGGCTATATAAATAAGATAAATGTTGACTAACCTGGTTCTCCATCAATTGCAATATCTAAATAAACTAATGGATTTCTTTGTGTAGCCGGAACAGAATTCATGTTATCGATCAACATTAGATATTTTATGACCAACCACACACAATACTATAAAAGTCTTGATAAATGTCTATTACAAACACTTATTACCATACAATCAATGGTTTAAAAAAATTAAAAACTTGAATCGACAAAAACACAGAAGCAAGCGAAGGGAAGAAAACAGACAGTGTGTGAGTAGCCAACATTGAAAAGTGTGTTCCCTTTAAACCAAAAGTAGGGTAAAAATCACACAAATGGGGAGACCACTCTTGTATAATCCCTAAGGAGTAGTTGTCTCGTGTTATAACTCAACGTATTGAGAAACTGAACACACCTCTAGAATACTACACTGACACGAATTGAACTAGATTTTTGAGCCTATCTGTGTCCGGATGCCAAAATAGGTATCATTTAGATTTTCGCTTTTAGTCTTGAACGACTACCCCATTTGCTCTATCCATTCGCTGGCCCTTTCTGAGTGACTAAATATTAAGTAAGTTTATTTAAGTTTCAAACATGCTCTTAAAGATTTCTCCCCTAATATGCCCCTGTATTCCTGAAATTTGTGTCATAAACCTTAAGTTGGTAACATTGAAAACTCATTGCCATTTAGTGATGTAGTGAATGACAAAATATCTAATGAAGTGAATAAAAAATTGTAAGGGTTAAAATCGAACTAAACTATGTTACCATGTTCTCATACATAATTTTAAATTGACGTATGTAACTTTTATGATTTGTGAAATTTAAATTAATTAGATAGAACGATTGCTACTGCATAACTTAAACCACCAATTTACAAACGTGCCACGAGTAATGTCACTTGTAAATATAAGTTAAAGTACCCTAAAATCTTCAAAGAGCCCAGTTTTGTGCAAGTTTTTGTTTAAGTGCCAAAATAATAAATGAAAAACGGCGTGAGAAGATATAATATTATATTTTCATTAGGAATTTTATTGAGTAAAGGTAAATTATACAAGTACAAACGTAAGTACAGTACAAAGGTAAATTATAGTTACTAGGTAATTTTTTTGGATTTAATTAGTTAGAAAAGGTTGCAATTTTTTTTAATAATAATATAAATCATTCAATTTATTTTCGCTTAATTTAATTTCGCTTTTTAGTGTTTTTAGGTAGGGAGTTTTTGTTTGATGTTTTTTTCATATTTTTTTATTTTTAAATTGTTTATTTTTCCATTTTTAGTTTTTGCTTTCCTTCTAAAAGTTTATATGGTCCTTCAAATAATTTAAAATCCGCGAAATGGAGGGTAAAAACTAAGAAATAAATCGCAAATTTATTTTCCCTCTCTGTGTATTCTCTTTTAACTCTAATACATTTATTAGAACTATTAATTAATTTATTAATCCCTTGGAATTTTTTTTATATTTATCGTAGAAATAGGCCTAAATTGCGATCTTCACCTCTTCATCGTTGTAAAATTTCCTCCCTCGAAGCTCTTTTTTTCATGTTTGGGAACAGATAATAATCGCTTGGGGCTAAATCTGGGCTATAGGGAGGATGTTCCAAGATTTCGAAGCCCACTCTTTATTCAGCAGCCACTGCAACTTGTGCCTTGTGCACGGGTGCATTGTCGTGCAAAAGGAGCACCCCTTTGGTCAATTTTTTCCGGCTTTTCTCTCTCACAGCATCTCGTAGACAATTTAGTAGTGCAGCGTAGTACTCTCCCGTTATATTGATTATTTTTTATTTGTATTCGATACGAATGATTCTTTCTGTATCTCAGAAAACAGTGGCCGTGAGTTTTCTAGCCGATGAAGACACTTTGGATTTCTTCGGCGGTGGTGTGCCCTTTTTGATGCTACTGCATGAACCCAAGTTTCATCTCCAGGCACAATCCTTTCTAAAACTTCGTCCTTGTTTTAACCACTGAGCCAAAAACTCGCAGCAACACTCAACTCACCTGCTTCTTATGTGGCATGAGCATTCTCGGCACCCACCTTGCGCACACCTTAGACATGCCAAGATGATCGTGTAGGATGTTCAAAATGGTTGTAGCTGACACTCCGATCATTTTGCAAGCTGTTTTACTTTAAAAAATGTGATTTTTTCAAAATTTTTCAAAACAAGAGTACCCGTAAACAGAAGACATCTCTTCCAAAGTAGTCTAATGTTTTTGCTTGGTAAGGAACTTGATGACTGCACGAAACTCAATTTTCTCCATGTTTCAAATTTCTATCTGTATCTTAATGAATAATGACCTGATTTTCTTTAAACTTCGTATTTATACCCTTAATGAGTGTCACAACTAGTTCAGGTAAAAGAAGTGCCACTTTTTTTATTTTGTCGATTCAAGTTTTTAATATTTTACAGTACAATAAACAAGTGTTTTTTTTGACCCACTTACGTACTTAACAAATGTTTGTTAGATTTGGGTTGAACTTCAGTGTATTTTTAGGATATGTCAACTTTTCTAGGTACTAATTTCAGTTAATGCTCTGGTATAATTGTTTTAAAATCTTAAAGATATAGGCAATAAAATATGCCGACAAAATCGTTTCATTGTGCTGTCTTGGTTGGTAAATAAGAATTTTCAGACAGGAAAGAAGGTAAATCTTATATATAAATCAAAAGTATCTTAGAACTACGTTGAGTGCTCTTTTATGCTTATCAGGACACAACATCCATTTGGCTCTTAACATCCAATTGATTTGAATACATACAGATATTAGTCGAGTTTGTAATCGAATTTGAGGATTTCAATTACATACTAAAAGTCAGATGTCAAATAAGTCATGTTTCATGATAAGATGTCCAACTTAGCTAAACCTGAAGTATTAACATCGTTTTATCTATAATATAGCACCTTAATTACGTAGAAAGGTTCACACGTATGTTTTCAAGAGACTATGTATATATTTTAGTATTAAAGTTGTAAGATTTCTGTAAGTAATAAGTTATTGTAATAGTATAAAGCTCTTAGGCCTTAACTAGTTTATACGTAAGCACAAAGATTTATTTAGTTAGTTTCCTGAACATTTATATGTACCTATTCTTTTAATTTTGCAATATTTAACTTGATTTCATTTTTCAGGTGGAAAATGTCTTCTGCCGCCATATATATCCTGGATGTGAAAGGAAAAGTCCTCATTTCGAGGAACTATCGCGGTGATGTTGATTTGGGCGTCATAGATAAATTTATGCCTTTACTAATGGAGAAAGAAGAAGAGGGAATGCTTACACCACTTCTACAGACTAGCGAGTGCACCTTTGCTTATATTAAGACAAACAACTTGTATATAGTATCAACCACCAAGAAAAATGCTAATATTGCACTTGTTTTTGTTTTCTTGTACAAGATCGTTGAAGTTATGACTGAATACTTCAAAGAATTGGAAGAGGAAAGTATCCGTGATAATTTTGTTGTTATATATGAGCTGCTGGATGAATTGATTGACTTTGGCTACCCACAAACAACGGATAGTAAGATACTACAGGAATATATCACCCAAGAAGGTCATAAATTGGAAATGCAACCTCGTATACCGATGGCTGTTACAAATGCAGTGTCATGGCGGTCTGAAGGTATTAAATATAGAAAGAATGAAGTATTTTTAGATGTCATTGAATCAGTCAATTTGTTGGCGAATTGTAATGGAAATGTTCTAAGAAGTGAAATTGTTGGGGCGATCAAAATGAGAGTATATCTGTCTGGTATGCCTGAGCTTCGTCTTGGGTTAAATGACAAAGTACTATTTGAGAGTACTGGTCGTGGCAAGTCTAAGTCTGTAGAACTTGAAGATGTCAAGTTCCATCAGTGCGTGAGATTATCACGTTTTGAAAATGATAGGACTATTTCCTTCATTCCACCCGATGGAGAGTTTGAATTGATGTCATACAGATTAAACACTCATGTGAAGCCTTTGATTTGGATAGAGTCAGTTATTGAACGTCATGCTCATTCCCGAGTTGAGTACATGATCAAGGCAAAGTCGCAGTTCAAGAGGCGTTCCACTGCAAACAATGTTGAGATTATTATCCCCGTCCCAGCTGATGCTGATTCTCCAAAGTTCAAGACGACCATAGGCAGTGTGAAATACACACCTGAACAGAATGCCATCACTTGGTCCATTAAATCGTTCCCTGGAGGCAAGGAGTACTTAATGAGAGCCCACTTTGGGCTGCCCTCTGTTGAGTGTGAGGAGGTTGATGGTAAGCCACCAATTCAAGTCAAGTTTGAGATACCATACTTCACTACATCTGGCATTCAAGTGAGATACCTGAAGATTATTGAGAAGAGTGGATACCAAGCTCTTCCGTGGGTACGTTATATCACACAGAATGGAGACTACCAGTTAAGAACAAATTAATCTTCTTATTGCATTCCATAAATATAAGGCACCATATTATGTTATTTACAAGTTGTCTATTTTGCATTATTAATATAAAATATTAAAAGTAATCATGTAGTATTATGTATTTGTTTTGACTACAATAAATTAATATTCTTCATAATGTTTATTTGCTTCAAGTTCCTTTGGTCTAAATACATGCGATATAGATCTGTTTTACTTTTGAAAATTCCTGTCTTAAGCATCTTTTTTTATGATAAACTTTCACCCCGAAAGAGCAGGCGGGGTCACCTGTAGAAAAGTGAGAACTCCACCCAAAATCATCTTTCTAAAAAACATCTTTGTCAATAGTACATATATATTGCTTTGCACATAGTACTACTATAAGAATAATCTTTAAGTGTATACACTTAAAGATTATTTTGAATCACGCATTTAGTGCTGACTAAAATTGTTTACTTGACTGTTCCCAATGCGTTCAATACTCATAAAGAGAATTAAATACAGCATTACTAAATTGTTACGCCTTCTACTATTGAGTAATAATTAAATTTCATTTGGCTTAAATTAACACAAATGTAAAATGCAATAAATATGTGTTAATTTATACTTGTGTTCGGTGGTGTTTCAAATAAAAAAAAATGGATTTTCATAATAGCGTAATTGCAACTATATATTTTTATATTTTATTACATTTTTAATTTTGATGGTATATAAATATATATTATATACATGTATATTTATGAATAAATACGTATCTTAAGTTAAATTATCCCTGTAATGTTGAAATTCGTTTCCAAACGGTTATCTTCGTCATCTGTGATCTTCGTGTTTGTCAACTTTTAGTATCAGTGTTGTCAGTTTAGTTATTTTTTCGCTATTTTGCACACTTAATTTTTTTAGACACTTCTTCCTCACTTGTTTTGTTCCTTACAGTTACACCTGCATTTATATTCACTGTCCTGCTTCTATAGATTGTACCGTGATGCTAAATAGCATGCTACTTTATCCAATGAATTATTATTATTATAGCTTTATTTGCCACTTTACACTACAAATATATATGTAATTATAATAATTTAATTTCATTCATTCATTCATTTCAAGCCCGTTTCATTGTTATATGGGTAAAAGCCTCCTCCACCTTTCCCTGTCTTTGGTCAAATGCATCCAACTTTTTCCAACTATGTTCATTATGTCATCTTTTCCATCTTATCTTTTCTTCTGTCTTCCCACTTTCCTTTTGCCTTTTGGGCCCTACTATTCAGTTGTTAGGTAAGTCCATCTGTTATCCTCGTATCTTGACTGGTGCCCTGCTCATTTCCACTTCTGTTTTAAACTAAAATGAAGTGCACCTGTTAATTTAGTTTTCATGCGGATGTCTGCGTTTCTCGTTTTCTGTATTTTTGTCAGTTTCAGTATAATCTTTTTATCTTTTTTTCTGCTAGCTTTTTGTTTTGCACTGTGATTATTCTCCAATATTGTCTTTTACGGCCACACTTAATAAAGTATACGTTGCGACGCCACAAATTAACACTATTTGCACTGTTATTGGTTTTTTTTTGCGGAGGACGTTGACGTACGTGTTTACTGTGAGACTTCAATGAATACTCAGTCTAATACAAAAAATCTGACTAATGGTTCCAATCATCGGCTCTTATTAACTAAGAAAGATGAAATAAAAAGTTTACTTCTTTTGAAATCGATTTAAACACAAATTGTAATTATCTAGCAAGTATTTTTTATTTTTTTCATTTATTCATAGCCCACCGAGTAACAAAACTTATAGAATTAGTAACAATTTGACTTATAACCATGTTAGTAAATATATAAATAAAAGAAAACACAGTGAACACAATGAAATGAACCGATACCTAACATGGCACGTAGATAGGCATTATGCTGCAAGTCCAGCAGAAAGCCTGCAGCACCGGTTCACGATCGCGCAATCCATTCGGCTAGAGATCAATTTTAGAATGCTGTTGGTGCTGCCCCGCTGCCCACTGCTTACAAGCCTATCAGAACCCTAAACGCGTTGTTATATTAGACTCGAAGGGCGCTGTATGCTTTTAGTGTAAAATTAACCCACAGGCTACACGCGTAGAATGAAGTACAAAATGCACTGAATAATGCGACTTTGACCACACTCAAACAGCGTGCAAACCTGCGAGCTAACAGGTTAGCACGTACAGACAGCGCGCTTCGCTCCCGTTCGATGTCATTATCATCCTTGAGGTCGGCAGTCAGATTGTGCCCTAGAAATTTAAAGTGGTTTACTCTCTGTAGAGGAACTTCGTTCAGTTTAATGGTAGGTATCTCAAACTATGATGACCAAAATTGTCTTTATAAAATGAATATGAATAAAATAAATGAATGTTTTTAGTTTTTTTTTTTTTTTTTGGGTTTTTGGTAATACATCTATTTTACAGTTTAATAGTGCAGGTCCTTCTTTCATTTTAGTGGTGATCCAGTGTTTGTTTGATCTGTGCAAATTTCTACGTGCGTTTTTGTTACTACTTTCTTTTTGCCATAATCAATTTCCTTCGTCTGGCAACTTTAGTTATCTGTAAATAGAGGCAAATTGTGCAAAATAAACAAAGCCCGCCAAGATGATGTTTTACAAAATGAGAACACGAAAAAAATTATCAGAAAGATTATTAAAGCCACAACTTAGTTTTCTTAGACTACATTCTCACATTTTACCGACAAGCGAAGTTGTAATAATTAAACAGGCAAAGAAAATTGATAACCTCAAAAAAGAAAATGTTTCTCCAGCGGAAAATATCAAAGCTGATGATAATTCAGGCGAATTTAGAGTGAATGAGGTTAATATACAGATGATATCGAAGAACATATATGACCAACTATTTAAAAAACCAACTGAAAAAATAGATTGTAATATTATTAAAAGGTAAATGCACCATAGTATAAATCTTACTAATTAAGTATTCATGTAATGTATACATAATGCATAGAATGTAGTATAACATAAGTATCAAAAAGAGTTTATGATCATCAGATGAATACAATGAAACATTTGGAGTCCTTTAATTTATACAAATTAAAAAAAACAGTTATTTTTGTGATCATAACGAATGATGCTAAAATATAGGTACTATATGTACCAAAAATCTATATTTAAAAAAATCGCCAGTCTATCTGATTGTTTCGGGTAATCCCCAGAATGGTGGACTGATTTCCAAGAGGTTAATGGTTCCAGAGAGCTAATGTTATAAGGAATCTAATTCTAAGGATTATTTTAGCTTAGAAAGAAAATAAGAGTTCTGGGAAAATAGCATAATAATTTATCAAGTGAAAATGAACCTTGTAAATTGAATTGGTTATTTGAATTAGTAGTCATTGGAGAGTTGAACTATCTTTCTGCAATAATGTTATGAAACTTCTATCTATATTATATGTGTAAATCAAAACTTTAAAGTGATTTATTTTTATAAAGTATGACACCTTTTAGTGCCCTTAATCGGTGCAATGACATCAGAAGACCTATTCTCATAATAAAAGTTCGATCAAAATTTAGTTAGATCAGAAGATCCACTGTCGATCTCACAAATGTCATAAATAAGCTTTTCACAACTACCTTATTAATAATGTTAATTAGTACAGTCACCTTCAACGAGATGGTCTCTTTGAAATTGAAACACTTTGACTATGTCAAAAAATATAGGAAGACTATTATCTAAGAGTTGATCTGAAAGCCTACTCTCGTAATAACAGTATAAAAGGTATTTGCCTACTAAATTATTAAACATCAAACATTGGCTGTATTGTGATTATGTTGTGACCAAAAATTGAATCGGAAATCTGCTAGTCATAGTAAAACTTTACTATTTTACTACATAAATACTAACCCAGTTAGGAATGAAACCGCCCTGTGTGTGATGTTTGCAGTTATTATTATCGTTTATTACACACTTATTACATTGTTTTACAGATGCCAAGATAATTTACTAAAGCATGGCATTGATTACAAGAAATGCAGTCACCTTCCAGATGTGGAATTAAAACTACCGAAGCTTGAGGGTTCAGATGTCGTTGAACACTTTTACAATATAGGTGAAAGGCAAAGTGCTCCATATAGAACTTTATTACAGAAGCTGGCTACCTGTAAGTTGCCACCATTGCCGAAGGTACCTGAGTGTTTTTTTTTTTTAAGTTATTCTATCTGCTGTGATATTGCTCTTGATAATCAATTATGAACTACATATCCATGTGGTGATGGATTAAGAATATGGAGTGTCGCCACCCGTTCATCCTGTGGGTGTCGTAAGACCAAGTGCCATAACATGAATTAACTTAGTTTCATTTTTGTTATTTACACTAAATATTAAAACTTTTTTTTTTTAAATTCATATACTATGAATGTCAGTGTGCCCGGAAAAACTCCGTGTGGTGACAGATTAAGAACACGGAGTGTTACGACCCCTATTCATCCCGTGGGTGTCGTAAGAGCCGACTAAGGGAATAAACTATGCAGGACAACAGCACTGCAAAGAGAAGGAAAACTTTAAATAAACCCTATACCAACCTGTCTGGCCAGCTGGTATAGTAGGCCAATATATCCTTTCTAAGGAGATGCCTATGTTCAGCAGTTGACTATTAAAAGCTGAATCAATTACTATTTATAACTGATACTCTTTGTCAACTACTACAATTAAAGATACCACACAAAGAGAAAACCTAGAAGTGGGTTTCATCATTTTTCATTACATACTCGTTTTAACCCTCATCTGACTAAACTAATAATACATTTATAAAAAACATATATGAGGTGAATGAACATTAGCCAAACTTAAAAATCAACTCTTTATGAACATTTTGAATATTAGTAAACTTGCACTATTTATAATGAAATTCTGAGAAAGAGCACTTCAACTACAAAGGCTGAATCAAACATTAGGCGCAGGATGACGATTCAATGTTAGCAGCTTACGTGTACTAGTGCAGCCCGTCCACTGTCTGCCCCACCCTTTACCAATATTAGGTTAACAAGTCTATTGTTACTGTTTTTAAAACTTTTATATTTCAAGGAATGGTCAAAGTCAGCAGGCTGGACAAAATATACCAGTGGAAAAGCAGAAAAAGTATCCTGTCCACCAGATGATGCTTTAATATTTGATGTGGAAGTTCTTATGTCAGCTGGTAAAAGACCTACTCTGGCCTGTGCTGTATCTCCAAATGCATGGTGAGTTTACTAATATCAGGTAAAATATCATAGCAGCTGACTGCCAATGCAGAGATATTAATTTGTATCTTATTTGGTGGTGGCGTGGCGTGCAGGCCCATCCCTAGCCAGCCCTTCGACCTTGACTGAGCACTGTTGTTAGAACAGATAAAGAAAATGCAGTCAATCATTATCTTCATTTTTCGCAATAAATTTTCGGTAATAAATATTGATTATCGATGGGTGATCTGGCAGGTATTAGGGGGTCTGTATCAATCGAGGGGCCCTGGGCCTGTGTGGCCTGGTGCACTTGTGCACTAAGGTTGCAACGAAGGTTACGACCGTCTAACCGCCCCGCGGCGTCCTGAAGACTATTAGGATAATATTCTAGTTGTCTCATATCATTGAATAATCTGCACTCCAGCTCTCCACACAAGGTGCACCCAATGTCTTCTCCTTTGCAAATTGGCCAGTTGCACCAGGGCTCTCTATCTCTGATGTACTAAGAGGATTATATATTTTCAATTTAAGCACTCTGCTATCGTTGTAGGCATTGCTGAAATCCAGCAAAGCACCTTCACTTCACCTTTTCGTCTTTCAAGCCGGATCTGATATCCTCCTACTATGAACTAGACCTGTCGTATGACTATGACGGAAAATTTAAATTTAAATGATTTAGAAGACATTTAAATACAAATTCTTCTTCTTCTTCCTTTAATTCAGTGGCTCCATCGGATGTCGATGATTTTGCCAATGTCTAGGTGGGAGGTAGATTTATTAGTTAATAGGTTGAAAATATTTTGAATACCAAAAGGGAATTGTTGTGATTTCGATAGTTTCTGTTTGTGGTTCTGTGGGACAGTAGAGAAAAAAAGAAAAAAAAGAAAAAGGACAGTAGAAAAAAATATAGCAGTAAAGGTATTAGGAAACTTTATAAATTTATTTTATTTATACGAATGAAATGGTAAAGGATCCTGACAAATGGGGTATATACTAGAGTTAATAGATAAGCCAAATTAACGGGTCGGGATATTTGTTGAGGGAGTAGATCATACAGAGGTACGACCAATTTAGGACAAGAAAAGAAAATATGTTCCAGAGTGCCTTCATCGAGACCACACTCACATAGAGAGTGATCACGAACTCGAATTTTGGCAAGAAAAACTGGGGTACTGACAAATCCTAATCGTAAACGAATTATAGTAGAGGTGGCTGACTTATTAACATGTTTTTGTTTGAAGAACCAGGATCTAGCAGGAATTAAGGGTTGTAGAGAGCCGTAAAATTTACCCTTGATCATTTCTACTGCTTTGCCATGTGTTATTCCAGGACTCAGTCAATGAAAGTTTGGCTAGGGAGCGCAGATCTCGGGCGAAGCAGAATTTGTGGCTAGCGCATCCAGTCTGAGCTGCTATTTTGGCGCAGGAGTCCGCAGTTTCATTGCCTGCTATACCTGAATGACTGGGGATCCATGCTAGAACTACTTCAATACCAGACAATAGGCATCTGTGAAGAACCTCTTTATTTTAAGAATTATAGGGAAATTATTGCGAGCTTTGAAAGGATTTTTTAAAGATCTTGTAGGCAGCTCAAGGAGTCTGACAAAATAAGGGACTTATCAAGCTTATGAGATTCCACATAGGAGACCGCTTCTAATAAGGCAATAGATTCTCCTGAAAAGATAGAGTTGTAGGAAGAGCATTTATAACTTAGTATAATTTTTAAATTTGGGAATCCAAACTGCAGAACCAACAAAGGCATCTGAAGAAAGTTTTGATGCATCTGTATAAAGCGTACCCCAACCCCCAAAAAAACCAATTTTTTCTCCCGCCAAAAAAAATTTAAAAAATTGGGGGAAAAAGAAAAAAGGTTTTGGTTGGAAAAAGGGGCCGGAAAAAAGTTTTTTGGAAGGGGGGCGGGAATTTTTGGTGGCATTAAAATTTGTAAAGTTTAAAAAACCAAAAGGGGGGATTTTTAAAGAAAAATTAAAAAGGGTTAAATAGATTTTTCTTTTAAAAAGGGAAATTAAGGGGCACAAAAACGGGGATAAGGCTGGTTCCAGAAAATTTAATATGGCCAGAAAAAAAGGGAACCCAAATTTAATAAAGGGGATGGGAATTTTTTGGATTGTTTTAAAAGGTTTTTTGGCCCAAAGGGGGAGGCCCAAAGCACCCAAATTAGGGGCATTTCACAATTTTTCCCGCTCCTTTTATACAAGGTTTTAATGGGGTAAATTAAAAAAGGATTAAATTTTAGAAAAAAAAACTTTAAAAAAGGCTAAAAATTTTATGGAATTTTTTTTTTGGAAAAATTAGGCCCCGCCCCCAGAAGGGTTTAATTAAAGGGAATTTAACGGTTTGGGGGGAAAAATCCCAAAAACAAATTTAAAAAAAACCAAAAAATTGGGCCTAAAAACTTTTAAATTTCAGGGAAAATTTAAAACCGGGGGCAAAGGGGAAAGGGGATAAAAAAAATTTTATTTTGGCAAAAAGGGGAAAAAAGAACTTTTAAAAAAGAAAGAAAATTGGCCCTGGGCCAAAGTTTAAAAATAAAAGGGGAAAATTAAAGGGGGGAAGGGGCGTAAAAAAAAAGAAAAAAAAAAAAAAAAGAAAAAAAGGAAAAAAAAAAAAAAAAAAAAAGGGAAAAAAAAAGAAAAAGGGCCCTTCCATACAAGACGAGGAGGGAGAAAAGAACCTTGATGACGAATAGAGATAGTACGACACATGAGCATATTGCAGATGACGTGAACCATCCTCGCTGGAATACTCAGATGTAGCATTTTCTGCCTGAGAAGAGGAAGATGTACATTGTCATAGGCTGCAGAGATGTCCAAGAAAACACCGATTACATTCTCGTTACGAGAAAATGCAAGGCGAATTTCAGAGGAGAGGATGCTGAGGCTATCTAAAGTGCCTAAACCTTTTCTAAAGCCATACTGGTTTTTGGCTAACAATTCGTTGTGTTCTAGAAACCATTCGAGTCTGAATTTAATTAAGGTTTCCATTATTTTAGCTAGTACTGAGGAGAGCGCAATAGGGCGATAGGAAGACGAATTTCTGGGATCTCTACCAGGTTTCAGAACAGGAATGACAATTTGGGTCTTCCAAGATTCAGGTATTTGGCCATAATAAAAGATGGCATTGAGGATACTGAGGAAGAAAATTTTGGAAGAATTGGAGGATTTACGAATAAAAGAGTAAGGGATACCGTCAATGCCGGGAGAGGAATCATGAAGATTATCTAGAGCAAAGGATAGTTCTGTGAAAGAGAAGGGATCATCCATGGTATTTTGCGAGGAATCTGGAATAAACGGATAGGCAGGTGGGAAACAATCGAAACCTGGAGCATATGGAGGAGCCAGTTGGCTAAGGAAGTCGTGCAGGAATGAATGAGGGTCATTGCTAGAGATATTTGTTACGTCAAGACTTTTTCGGAATGACTTGAATTTTTTCCAGACAAGTGAGAGACTAGAGCGAGGAGATAAGGACTCACAAAATGAACGCCAACCTAAAGATTTTTTAGCAGAAAGAAGTCTAGTTGTGCTAGCAGCAATTTTTTTGAAATTGAGGAAATCCGACATAGAAAGGGATGCAGCAAATTTGTTCTCAGCCTCCCTGCGCTTCTTAACACTGGCAGTACATTCAGAATCCCACCAAGGGGGAGAAGCAGTCAATTTATTGGAAGGAAGTTTGAGGGGAATAGAGCAATCAGCAGCTGAGTTAATTGCAGAGATAAATTGGTCATAGAGGACAAGAAAATTAAAGGAATTTGTTTGAGGGAGGGTGGTTAAATTTTGATCTAGTGATGTTGCAAATTGCTCCCAATTGGCTTGGGAAACTCTGTATTTGAGGAGGGGTTGTAGGGTTTGGGGAACATATGAAGTAGAGGGGAAGTATGAAATTAAAATAGGGAAGTGATCACTACCAAGGGAGTTTGGCAGGGGGGACCAGGATAGGAGGGAGACTAGGGAAGGAGAAGATAGTGTTAAATCTGGAACACTAATATTTTGGCATGGAGAAACTCTACGAGTTGCGGATCCGTCATTAAGGATGCACAAGTTGCAATCATCCATAACGTCAAGTAAGACAGAGGAGCATGAGTCAATACAGTGAGATCCCCATAGAGTGTGACGGCAGTTAAAGTCTCCTAAAACAATCATAGGGGAGGGGATAGTTGAAAGAATTGTTTTTAATTCAAGAAGAATGCTTGTGTTGGGATGGGGAATATAGACAGAGACAAAGGAAACATTAAAAGCTCTGAGGGCCACTATATTTAAGCCAAGAGAGTGGTTTGGTAATAAGATTAGAGAGAATGTAATATTCCTATTGACCAATAAGGCACAACCAGCATAACCATCACTTCTATCATCCCGAAGACAAGAGAAACCAGGAATTCTAAAATGGAATTCAGGCTTTAACCACGTTTCGGAAACTGCAAAAATAACAGGTTTATGTTGATTGATCAAGTAAGAGATATCTTGTTTGTTACGTCGGATACTCCTACAGTTCCATTGCAGGACCTGGAGAGCCATTGGAAGCATTATTTTTTGTGATAACAGAAAGTAGTTGTTCAACAAGAACTGCAACGTCGTACGGTAAGGCATCTGACATTTTAGACAGCATGTTAATTAAAGAGCAAAGAAGGAGCTGTACAAGATTGTCATTAGGAGTAGCAAGAGGAGTTGTTTCAGTAGGGGGGATAAGACAACAACCATTAGGGTGGATAGAAGTTGGGGACTGAGTAATTGTATTATGGGCATGAATATCATATGTCTTCCCAGACATAGATATACGGCGAGGGGGAAGGTTAACTGTTTTTTTGTATGATTTAGAGGGAGAAGCAGATGGGAGAGGTATGATGGATGGATGAGTTTGAGGGTTTAGAGGGAAATTAGCAGGGGATTTGGGACTGGCAGCAGCCTCAGAATATAGCCGCTTGGCAAACTGTGGAAATCTAGCTGATGCTTCCATATAGCTAAGGTTTTCCTGAGACATGACACTTTTGATGGATTTTTGTCTGTTATGTTCAGGACATCTGTTATCAGTAGCACAATGGCTACCACCATGACATAAAAAACAAGATATCTCCGAGTCAGGAACCAGGCAGGAGTCACCAGAATGCGGCTGAGCACATTTATAGCAGCGGGGCTGGGACCTACATTGTTTGGCAATGTGGCCGAACCGACAACAATTCCTACATTGTATGGTAGGTAACTGGTAAAGCGACACTGGCAGAGATGCATTGAAACAAAAAATTTTTTCTGGCAGACTCTGTCCTAGAAACGTAAGGACCACAGAGTTCGATGGGACCCAAACGGACACTCCATCTTTTCTATTCTTAACATTAAGACGTCTAGCTCGAACAACTTCGCCACAATTCTTAGGGACAGATATTCCAGATACTAGTTCCTCTAGAGTCCACTCAGTAGGGATATCCCTAACAACACCCATACGAAATACTTGGAAGCGAGGAATATTTGCCACATAATTATATTGTCTGACTATTGGGGAGTTAACAAAATTATTCGCTGAGATAGCAGACATAAATTCCACACAGACTTTGTTACGACCCATATTTTTAATGGTTCCCTCTACAATATCAGGTATTTTGTTTTTGTATAAAAACTGGGCGAGTTTGAGTGCCTTAAGAGACAGGCCGGATGATGGATCAGGTTCAAGCCTAGAAACATACACAGAATATGGACCCTTGTCTGATACCGAGTATTCGAGCCTGGAATCAGACTCAAATCCAGGTTTTGAGAAAATTGACTGAATCGATTCAGCTGGTGAACGTATTTTCTTTCCATCGAAGTCAACGGGAAAGACTGAGTCTGATTGTCGCTTTATAGCTTTGGGTTTATCGGGGGGTAACACACCGCCCCCATCAGGGGGGTCTTCCGCGCTCATTTCCGTAGAAATGAGCGCGGTTGTTAATATTCACTAACCTTGTTAGGGATTATTCCTGCAACAGAACCACACAAACACTATTTCGAAAGCACAATATGAAATTATATGCCAAAATTCAGAAAATAACCTAAAAACTCACTACTGTCACTTCAACACACCAAAGACAACGTCCAAAATACAAATTGATATGTAGGTTTTACAGAAAACGCTGTGTTCAATGTAGCATATTGTTTATAATTTTCTTGTATTATGGCTAACTAATTTAACAGTTATCTTCCATAAGAGGTGTTTAGAAGGATTTTATATAATGATTTAATTTCAGGTATGGTTGGATAAGTGAGCCTCTAGCGAATAACTTGCCACACGAAGTGTTCGAGACTTTGCCATATGAAGATCTAATACCGTTGGAGACAGATGGTCTAAAACCATGCGGCGACCTTAGTAGGCCTAGAGTCGTGGTTGGACATAATGTGTCGTTTGATAGAGCCAAGATCAAGGAACAGTATTGGCTAGAAAGAACAGGTAAAGAGAAAAGATCGAAAATTTTATCTTTTACTATTTTTTTTTTTTTTTTTTTTTTTTTTTTTAGTATTGCTTCTTTTAAAATGTTAATTATTTTGCTTTAATGTTCTTCTGTAGAAATATAATTTATCGTTAAATTACTTAAATAAAGTCTAACTATTTTCTAAGAAAGGACTGTAATGTTTCGATGTATCCCCGTACATCCCTCCCATTCTAGGATAACCCCCCGTAACTCAGCAATTCTTCTATCACTAGAATTTTACATCTTTGTGAGTGCAATTTAACATGTGCAGATTATGCTGCAAAATCTGTACTGCCTTCAGTCCAGTGATATATAATACTTAATCTATATTTTTCTGTACTCCTTCCTAAAAGGCCGGCAACGCGTTTGTGACTCCTGAGTTGCAGACGGTCATGGGCGTCGATAGTCACTTTCCATCAGGTGACCCGTCTGCTCGTCTGCCCCCTCTAACATAAAAAAAAACATATCTTTGATTGAGATTTGATTAATTTTTTGTAAATATTTTGATGGGTCCTTGGATAGATTCGTTTCATAATTTGAGAGTCAGGGATATTTCTTATTTTTACGTTCGAGCATGACAACCAGTCATAAATAAAAACACATATTTTTTTACACAACTTTATGCACTTTTGTAGACCGGCGGAGTTAAATCCTCTAAAAAGGGTATTCTCTTCCAGTCAGCCTTTGTTGAAGTCAGATGTGTGTAAGTGATATATGTTTTCAGGAGTAAGATTTATGGACACAATGTCGATGCATGTTAGTGTCAGCGGGGTGACTAGTTACCAGCGTACTGTGCTAAAGGCGAAAAATAAAGAACCACATCCGTCCGATGATGATTGGAAGGAAATTAGCTCCCTCAATAATCTCAGCGAGGTTAGTAATACAATATATATTTGGGATATAAGATAGTATATATAGTAGGACTTTGTTTTTGACATTGCTTTGTTTATGGCCGGCTGCTGACCTTGGGATGTAATGGTTTTTCTGACGGGATGAAGAAAGAAGCTAAATAGGGATGGGAAAAGCCGATAGGACATGAAAGTTAGCTTAAGGGACACTGTAAGTCTCGGATGGTCAACGGCAATGGGACTAAAGCGGATAGGGAAGGAAAGTAAGCTTAACGGACACTGTAAGTCTCAGATGGGACACGGCACTGAGACTAAAGCGAATAGGGCATGAAAGTTAACTTAAGGGACACTAAGTCTCGGATGGGAATCGGCACTGAGACTGAAGCGGATAGGGCATGAAAGTTAGGTTAAGGGACACTGTATGTCTCGGATGGTACACGGCACTGAGACTTGTAAAGAAAAGTAAATCGCGAACCCGTCCATCGTCCATCCTCGGATCAAAGAAGCTCCTAGGACAGGGTAATTTTTTATTTGTATGAAATTGAGAGGCAAACAAGTAGATGGGTCACCTGATGGAAAGTGACTACCGCCGCCCATGGACACCGCAACTCAAGAGTCCCTCCCCCTAGCCTCAGAGTAGGTTTAGGCTCCGGTAACCTCACTCACCATTAACCCAAAAAGAATCTAAAGGTCTTGTTAAAGCAGTTAACAAAGACAATTAAATAATTTTTTTAATAGAAAAGTCAACCATTTTATACTAATTCTAGGTACACAACCTATATTGTGGTTCACCAATAAACAAAGAATCCAGGGACATTTTCACAGAAGGTACCATGGAAGATGTTCACCAAAACTTCCAAAGATTGATGATGTACTGTGCTGGAGACGTGGCGGCGACACACAGGGTCTTGAAACAACTATTTCCCATGTTCTTAGAGAGGTTCCCACATCCTGTAACACTGGCTGCAATGTTGGAGCTAGGTCAGAATATACTTTTTATACTAATAAGTTGAAAAAGTATTATTATCATCAACAGCCTTTAGTAATCCACTTGCTGGACATAAGCCTTTCCTTAGTTTTAGCCCACCATACAATGCAGACCAGAAGGGTTGGTATAAAGCTTGTTCCAAGATTTCCTTCTCTTTTTGCAGTGTTCTGCATAGTTTGCTCCCTTAGTCAGCTCTTAACGACACCCACAGGATGAAAAGGGGTGGTGACACTCCTTATTCTTAAACCATCACCACATAGACAGAGTATACCGCCTGATATTTGCTGATAGTAAGTGATTACTGGTGACTGTAAATATTAATTTCATTTATTTATCGGTATTACTTGGATGGTCAGAGACAAAGAGAGAAAAGTTTTTGAGACATTGGCGGGTAGATCAACTTTTGATGCACATTTAATGAGCCATTTAGAAGGGCATCGCTCATATCTGTTTTCTTTCCTTTGAGGAGAAGACAGCTGTGCTCTCTGCTTAATAAGCGGGGTAGACCTGCTTGAAAGACATGCTTTAAGAGATAGTAAGAAAATAAAACGACATTTTGTGCTAAAGGTGTATGAGATTTTTTATAATTTCTTACTGTTTCAGGCTCAGCATATCTACCAGTTAATTCCAATTGGCTTCAATACATAGATTCAGCTGAAACAGTTTTCGAAGACCTAAAATTAGAATCCAGACAGCTACTTTCACTAAAGGCAGACGAAGCATGCCGAATGATGACCAACGACGCTTATAAAAAAGACCTTTGGATGTGGGATCAGGATTGGTCGACACAGAAGCTTAAATTAAAAAAAGAAACTGGAAAAAAAAAGAAAGTGAAATCACATGAATCTGGCGGTATAGACGATATTTCAATTCAATTGGAAAACGATAAGAATTTGAAAATAGAACAAAGTTTAAAAGATTTTGATATTTTAGATGAAAAATATTTAAACAATTTAGAGAATTGTGATAATGGAGAACACGTGAACAAACTAGGCAATTCAAAGAAGTTTGATCATCTGTTCGAGATGGGACAGTTGTTGCCAGTAAAGAAGCCGTATTTGGCCGGATATCCGGCGTGGTATAGGAAACTTTGTACTAAACCCGGCAAAGATCCGGATTGGACCCCTGGGGCCAACAATATTACTACTAGTATGCAGGTACTTATAGCTTTGGCATGTGTTATTTGTAAAACAGATATAACAAAATAATGTAATAACGAATATATAATCTGTAGACACGACATTCAAACATATTTATAATTATCTTTTTTAAATTGGGTCCCGAGGTTACGCAATAGCTTAATAGCTATTGCGTAAATTCCGTAACGAAAATAACCTAACACACCCCACGTGATACTTTTTAGTTTTGCCATCTTGCGATGAATAGCAGAACTTTTAATGACTTTTTGAAATATCACGCTTGTCTCTTTAGTTCAGCAACTCGCCTCTAGGTGGCATTGGTTGTATCGGCGCATATTACGCATGCGCAGTAAGCGCATGCGTAATCCCCCTCTTCGCCCCGCAATCTAATTAATATCAAAGAAAACAAAATACAAAGGAAAAAAAATACTGCATAAATAAAATAAATAAATAATTATTATTGCATAAGTTGATAAAAAATGCTATGCAATAGCTTTACCGCGGCAGTCCCCGAGTGCCACACGTCTTTTTTTTTATCTCCTTTTTGATGTCCCTAGCCTTTTTCCTAAACAAGGTTGGGGTCGTCTTTAAGTCTACTACGATATGGGTGAATTTCGATTTTTACGAGAAGCGACTGCCATTAGACCTAAACATCCCAAGTACTAGCCGTTATCGAAGTTTTGTAGAAAGACTGTTGCCGGACTTAAGGTCTCCAACTACCCGTAACGATTGCCACAGATGTTCGTATGGCAACCGGGACCGACGGCTTAAAGTGCTATCCGAGGCACGGACGCTTCAACGTGTTGAGAATGGTCACCCATCCATTGAATGACCTTAACTTTGCAATTTGTAGGTTATACTCGGTTACCACCTAGCCACTCTCTTGCTGTCTGTAAGAGTTATTTCATGAAAAGGTACGGAAGTGTGTTACGGGAAGCCGAGACAACTTACGCTATTTAAATTAATAAATGAGTGCACGCGGTACTAGATTCAAATTTTTTTTTGCAAAAGACAACTAATTAATAATCTAGTTGTAACAATTATACTTCTTTTTGAAGAGAAACTTCTTTGGAATCGTTTTGATTTGAAACTCGATGAAACGAAAATGCGTCACGATAAAGAAACAAACACATAAATGTATAGGATTAAGTCGGCGAGAGAATGAGATAGAATACATTACACATTATTTTTAATATAATATTGTGATAGTGTGAATATTTTATTGTTTTATTTAATACTTCGCGTGGAATTTGAAAAACGCTGCCTTAGTGGCTTCGATTCCTGGGCCCGGGGAACTTTTTATAGGTTATTCTGAGATAAAAAAAAACAGAGGATACATTTTTTTTCGTTAGTTGCACTTCGGCCGTGTGTGAATTGCACACACACACTTATTTTTTGAAGAAATTACTTATATTTTGAGGGTTTTTATTAAAAAAGCCTACTTTCGGGACAACGTCTGTCTTCTCCCTAGCGGACCTGAAAATATATATTAATTAAGATAACGTTTGTTTTAGATCACCCCAAAACTGCTTCGATTATCATGGGAGGGTTACCCTCTCCATTACATCCAGGCGGAAGGGTGGGGCTTCCTTGTACCTATTAGTCACCAACATTCTGATGATGCAGAGGAGCCGCTGATACCTTTGGAGGAACTTTTGAAGACCTGTCCCTTGAAGTTTTGCAAGGAAAGCTCTTTCGAACCCGACGTGTACATGCTGCCTAAGACTGTAGAGGTAAAAAAAAATACAGTCGAATTGAGAACCTCCTCCTTTTTGAAGTCGGTTAAAAAATATTAAAAGACGTATTCCGAATTACGATTCCTTATGGCTGTTCATTTAGTGATTTTAATCTTTTCTGTGTCCTGTCCGTTTAATAATGGTGCCTCGGATGCGCAGTGGTAGCGTATGCGACTGCCGTGCAGAGGTCTCGGATTCGATTCCCGGGTCGGACCAAATATTTTTATGATCTGCATATAGTTGTTTCGGAGTTTCGGTGTTTTCTATGATTAATATGTTTTTTTTTATTTACAAAAAAAAGTTAGGTATTCCATCCTAGCAGCCTAGCTTTCATAGTACAAGTTCTGCTTAGTTTGAAACTAGATGGCATTGTGTGTCAGATGTCCGAATTATTATTATTAAAAGAAATAACTTCACATATCTTACACACGGCAGTCTGATCCCAAACTAGGTCGAACCTGTGTGTAATCAGTCTGCTGATAAATATATTTATATATTTCTAAATACTTCCATATTATAGGAATTACAACTAGACTTGCACTGCAAAGATAAGGAAAACTTTAAACAAAGTCAAGTTTCTCTTCTCTTTGCGGACACTGAAGTGGCAAAATATATTTGGTTTATTGCTATAACTATGCATTCTATATTTTAAGGAAGATTTGGGCAGGCGTGCTTACTATGCGAGAAAGAAAATAGACAAACAGGCAGCAGCTAACCAATACCACGGTCTAGGAGTGTGGTGCGGTATACAGTTGCAAGGTCAGTTTATATAACACTAGCTTTGTTCGCGACCTCGTCCGCCTAGTGGTCGAAATTAGACATCGCAGAGGATCAAGACTATAGGTATATTCTCTATATAAACTTGCACCATTAACTTAACTTGCTCTTTAAGGGCAGTTTTGAAAAATTAGTAACAACGTTTCTTATTAGTTTATAATATTAGTTTAGACGAAGTTTCAAATAAATTTCCAACTGCCATTTTACACCCTTAGTGCTACGTCGCCTAAGGAATATTTGTTCAAAATTTCATGCGTCTAAACCCAGCAGTATTAACTGTGTGTTGATCGATCAGTCTTTGAACCAGTCTGTCAGTTGCTTCTTTTATAGATGTTAGCACGTAGATCGCTGTGCGGTTATAATCACCTAGTCGTGGACCTGGGGGAGAGTGGGGTGTCGTGACTCATACCAATTATGGATGGCGTAGGCGTAGGTCGCCACGCTGCTCACTACTACGTTGAGTGCTGCGGATCTGGTCCCTACATGGGACGACACTTTGTGTAATTCACAAATTGTTGTTCGGAGTCTGGGTGTTCTTTGTGTCCGTTTCATGTATGTTTGTAAAGTCCCCCGCGACACAGGATTTCTTCCTAGTGCGGTAGTTGTCTTTTTACAAAAAAAAAACATAAAGGACGCTAGCATTGTTTACTAAATTGTTAATGGTCTGTTCCAATCAAAAGCTTCTATGCAATCTAAATTCCTTTAATGGAATGTAGCTAGGATCTAACTAAGAACATCGCTGAAAATAGATTATAAAGGAAGTACTGTGTTTTTGTGTTCAGGATGCTGCCATTTTCTGAGACTCCCACACAAAGACGGACCTAAGTATAAAGTGGGCAATCCCCTTGCCAAAGACTTCCTAGACATGTTCAGTCAAAACGTACTCTCTGCTCAAGGCGATGAGGCTGAAAAGGTATGCATATCAATTTTGAAATATTTTTATTAAATAAGTGCAGTTCTAAATAAAAGTGAAAACTATGTTAATATTCAGTAAAGGTCTTAATAAAACTATTACTACGTTATAAAACGGGCTGCAGCTCAAAATCAGCGTCGTAAAGCACCTGTGCTCATTTAATAGTATGCCGAGCTGCAGATCATCGTTTGTAAGGAGTTACCGTGTCGTCGGTGCGCAGGTGCTGAGCTTCGGGCGCATGATGTCGTACTGGCGCAACAACCGCGCGCGGGTGCTGGCGCAGCAGGTGGTGTGGCTGCCGCCCGCCCACCACCAGGGCCTCGGCGCCATACTGCCGCAGATCGTGGTGGCCGGCACGCTCACGAGGCGGTGAGCTATCCCACTGTATGACATAACGGTATACCGGTAAAGTCATGAAGAGGTTGTGTGTCTATTGCCATTTTACCCCGTTTTCCTCGGGACTGCATAATAAATATTACCTATTGGATATATTCCCAAGTACTATATGAAATATTCTCTTCATAATTAAATTCCAACTTGAGTACAATCATGTTAATTAAAAAAAACAAAGAGCGAACGAGTATACGATACTTGCTTTTAGCTTTACCTCGGTCTAAGTCAGTTATCGCGGTAAAAAGTAGCCTATGTTATTAGCTGAAAATGTAGCTTTCCATTGGTGAAAGAATTATTAAAATCGGTTCAGTGGCTTATACGTGAAAGAGTAACAAACAAACAAACCCACTTTCACAATTATAATTTTAGTATAGATATATAACATCTGACATAATCCATGTGACGGTCAAATCTAACACCGCGCGATAATTGGTCAAATCAAAAAACGCACGCTTTCCCGCCTTCCTGTTACACACTTCCGTCCTTTTTTACGCACTCACTGCCATAGATTGTAGGCAAAGAAAGACGTTACACATTCATGTTGTTTTTATGTATTTATCGAATTGTAAGTCTTCTATTTCATCATCAATAGCAATAATTCACTCCTGGATATAGGTCTCTCTCTCCTTACCAATAATGTTTTGGCCTACTATACCACCCTTGCCAAACGGGTTATAAAGTCCGTCCGTGTGGTGACGGATTAAGAATATGGAGTGTCACCACCCCTATCCATTCCATGGGTGTAGTAAGAGCTGACTAAGGGAGCAAACTACGCAGGACAACACCGCTGAAGGAAAACTTGAAACCAACCCTATATCAATATGGTATTTAAAGTCATTTAAATATATTTTAGTTGTCTATTATGTGTAGTGCGAGTGAACCAACATGGATGACCGCTTCGAATGCACATCAGGAGCGAGTGGGGTCGGAGCTCCGGGCTATGGTGCAGGCGCCGCCCGGGTATAAATTTGTAGGAGCAGATGTTGATTCACAGGTATTTATATATATATTTATATAACTACTAGTTTAAGACGAGAAAGTATGTAAGTTCTCATGATTAGTATTCGATATTATACTTTTAGAAGTGATACCCAGTATACTACTAATACTTTAAGAAGTGCATTAGTTTGTCAAATATCACGCTAATATTATAAGAGCGAAAGTTTGTATGTGTTGTTTTATAGTTCTTCACGCTCAAATGGCTGGAGTAATTTAGATAAAACATTTATAGAGGTAACTTAACCTAATTCAAGGTGTGCTTGAATTAAAACGAACATGAGTGAGAAAGTGTAACGAATGAACAGATGTCTTTGTGACAGGCTCTTGACTATCCTTTTTTTGTAAAGTATAAGCCAATGTCCAATCGACTGCTAAGCAGCACCAATGGCATCCTGAGAGTATTGTCCGAGAGGTGGGATTTTCCAATCCTACAAAGGTGGATGCGTCTGCATGCTGGCGCATCCCCACGATTTGTTTTTTAATTTGTTTTTGTGTTAATGTAGAACTAACATAGTTGTAAGATTACTGTTACTAACATATTTATTGACTAATGTCTGAAAATAAATTTATTATTATTATTATAAGGGGGCAAACGTTAAGTTTTGAGTGAGCGAGATTACCATTTACCATTCATGCAGCGTTCGTCGTCACTCCTAGAAGCCCGTGAACGCTCCTGCGTCCCTAAAGGCTTCTGCGCTTCTGGAAGGAGCTTGATTGGCTCACTTAGCTAACCTTTCCTTGACGCATAAAGGATTATTCTTGAGTCTAAATGTGGAAACCGGAGCTCAATCAATATCATCGCCTATGGGCACCTGCAACTTAAGACACATAAGTGCTTTGTTGACTTTTAAGCGCCTACACCAGAATCAGAGGCAGGAGGGGGGAGGGCTTGGGCATTAACAGGTGTTTAACACCGACGTTCACGCAAAATGGTGCAGAAAACTATGAGGAAAGCTGATGATTATAATATAGCTCAAACTTTGATTGAGCTCAGTGACGTTTTTTAGGAGAAATCTGTGTTCAGTATTGGACGATGATGATGTAAAATTAACTTCTTATGTCCTCAACTGGATTATTCATTATCACCTTCGTAAAGTTCGCCGCAACAACCGGTCTTGTGCTGCCCGCAACCAACGGCTTCCAACTACCTTCACCAGATAGAATTATTACCGCTAAAATCTTTGCAAAGGAAGCTCAAAAAAGACTTACTATGTAGAAAGGTTTGATAACCTTTGTGATGGGTTGGTTTTGTAGGAGTTGTGGATAGCGGCACTGCTGGGCGACAGCAGCAGCGGCGTGTGCGGGGGCAGCGCGTTCGGCTGGGCCGTGCTGGCCGGGGACAAGCGCCGCCGCACCGACCTGCACTCGCTCACCGCCACCGCCGCCGCCGTGTCCAGGGACCACGCCAAGGTCATCAACTATGCCAGGATTTACGGTAACCGCGGCCTTAACTAATTCTTACTTATATTATGAAGCTCAAAACTTTGTTTGTTTTGTTGAACGCGCTAATCTCAAAAACTACTGGTTGGATATTTTTTTAGTGTTGGATAAGCCATTTATCGAGGAAAGCTATCCATACTAATATTATAAATGCGCAAGTGTGTCTGTCTGTTTGTTACCTCTTCACGCTTAAACCGCTCAACCTCCTTTATTAGATACTAGTTACATTTTATTTTACTAGTTATATTAATCAGATACATTTCAATTCCTTGCTCATCTCACAGGAACACTAAATTTTTCGTGATAAAAAGCTAACTCCCTCTATGCCAAGTTTTATCAAAATTGGTCAAGCCGTTTGAACTTAAGGAAGTAACAAACTTTTATAATATCTGTGTGCTTAGCTGTTCCCTGCTATTTTACCCGAGTGCGTAGTATCCTGTTGTACTGTTTCCCTACTAAGAGACATATTCTAATGTTTAACATAAACCTTCACAAAAACTTGAGCTATTGAATGAATAAAAATTAGTCTCCGGTTTTATTTATACATATTAGGTGCTGGACAAAATTTCGCGGAACGTCTACTGAAGCAATTTAATCCGACCATGACGATATCCGAAGCGAAGAGTAAGGCTGCTAAAATGTTCACGTCGACTAAAGGCAAGCGGGTGTACACACTCAAGAAGCAGTACATGGAAGGGTTTATTGATGAAGACTTGACAGACCAGGTATGTTATGTGGAGTTAGTATTTATTTTATTAGTATTTATTTTTATTTATTTATTTATTTATTTCATAGTAAAGTTCACAGTTTCATTACATAGGTTATCATAATAGAGTGATTGCTGTTCTCCTAGATAGGCAACTAAGTTGCCTGTGTTTAGGAGTTACAGTCCCTCAAGTGCGCATGTGTGTGTGGGTGTGTGTATGTATGTGTGTGTGTGTGTGTGTGTGTGTGTGTGTGTGTGTGTATGTATGTGTGTGTGTGTGTGTGTGTATGTGTGTGTGTGCGCGCGCGTGTGTGTGTGTGCGTTCGTGAGTGTATGAGTGCGTGCGTGTATGCGTGTGGTTAGGTGTTTGTGGTCTTACTTGGTTTCAATTTTCGCGTTAATAATAATACATATATACTAATATAATATCATGTATAATATCATCTGGGGCTTATTTAACTTTTTTGTGAAGTAAATCGCTATGTCGTATACACCGTAAGAGGCCTGGTGTTATCCATGGTTTAAGCACTCTTTTCCTAGCAGAGTTTGACAGTAGATGTACATTTGGCTATAGCTTTTTTATAAAGTTGTCAGTTGCATCATTTGGGTCTGACATGGTGAAAATGGGTGAAAAATCTGTATTTTCCATAAGTTGGTCAAGCGCAACATAATCGACCCTGCTAACCTCCCTTGGACTAGCTTCTTTAATGATGTTTTTGGCTATACAGAGCAAGGTTAGGTAGTGATCGGTTACCGCCGTTTAGAAGAGGAGTGTAATAGTTTGAACACTTGTTCTCAGCATTAGGTGGTCAATGCAGTTCTTGTCTCGCGTAAGGATATATTCCTAGGAGTTGTCTTTTAAAACAAAAAACAAGAAAAAAAGAAAAAGTTAATAAGCAAGTCTTAATGTAGATTATTTGTCTGCAGGTAGTAGAAATGTCAGGGTACCAAGCTATCCGTTTAGCAAAGCTGAGCGGCAAGAAACTCGAGGATATGTTCGAAAGGCCCAAATGGACGGGTGGCACAGAATCTGAAATGTTCAATAAACTCGAAGAAATAGCTGGTAAGTTAATAATGTTAGTAAGATGTAAAGTATTTTGTAACCCTTTAATAATGTTCTGCCAAATGAGCTGCTATGTCATGCGTATGTCACTCGAGTGATGTATGCAATGCACTGAATGTCATGTTGCCGGTGTTGCCACGTTGTGCTTAATATACTTATGTGTGACATGGCACATCTGAAACCACACATTTTGGCACAGGGCTGCCACTTTTATCTTAGTTATATTTTATATAATTAGTGATGTCTACACATCACTAATTAAAAGTTTGTCTTGAAAAGTGTTTTGATAGTTGTGAAAATTCTTTGGTGAAAGCCGTCGTGTATTTCAGAATTATTAATATGTTTTCTTTCTAAAGCTGCTGATGTGTTATCGGTGTGGTGACGGATTAAGAATACGGAGTGTCACCATCCCTGTTCATCTTGTGGGTGTCATAAGAGTAGACTAAAGGGAATAAACTAATCAGGACATCGGTCGGCTCTCACGATAGCCACGAGATGAATAGGGGTGGCGGACACGGACGTCTCGCTCCTGTGTCACAAACAAAAGGGGATACTGCGGTGTTCAGATTCCCCGGGTCCGTCGACGGCGTTCCTGTCGGGGCGCCTGACGCGCGCGCTGGAGCGGGCGGGCGGGCGCTGGGCCGGCACGCGCCTCAACTGGGCCGTGCAGAGCGCCGCCGCAGACTTCCTGCACCTCATGCTCGTCAGCGTGGCGCACCTCGCGCCCGAGGCCAGGTAGGGGGGCTTCGAGGTAGAAGGGGCGATACGACCGACTAGAACATCACTCCACTAACCGGAGCCTCATGGAAGAGGACGAAGACCCGTCCGCTCACTATACACCCTTAGGGTGTTAACAGTTCGTGGATACTGGTATTTGTATTAGAGATGCCGCGAATAGTGATTTGGCCGAATAACGAATATTCGGCGAGTCTCTTGGCCGAAGCGCCGAATAATTGGCAAAACACTTAGTACCTTTGACGGGTTTAAACCTGAATCACTAAAATAGTCAGAAAATGCAAAACAACATCCTAACCTAACAGAATTCACTAAGATCGTATCATTTCCCGGAAGCAGTATATACAGTGAGCGGCTATTTTTCTTTAGTTGGTAAAAATAAAAATCTTTATAAGTAAAATGATGCATTAATTTTTTCGTGATTTACAATTCGGTGTTCGGCCGAAAAGTATCGAATATCCTGCCGAATACCGAATAGTAAAAAAAATGGCCGAATAAGGAATAGTTGCCGAATATTCGTGGCATCTCTATTTTGTATATTGATGAGGCAATTCATGTGTTGATTTACCGACTTAAAAGTATTAAAAAGAACAGCACCAGCTGAAACATAGATCTTGTATATATCTCACAGTATTATTAATTTTAAGTTACCTTATTTCCCGAACGTTGAATTGTTTTGTGTGTAATTTTATTTTGTATTCCTATAGATTTTGTCTCAGCTTCCACGACGAAGTAAGGTATCTCGTTCCAGAGGAACACAAATATGAGACAGCTTTGGCGCTGCAAATAACCAACCTGCTCACCAGGGCGTTTTGTTCACAGAGGTAATTATTGTTCAACAGATCAACTTCAATGTTTTTTGTCACGTTTAAATATTTTCGTCGAATTTTTGCTAAAAACAAGCAAAAAATTTATTTCGGTCCATTCGTATAGCAGGCATGACGGCCTCTGACAGACATACGACAATGGAAGAATATACAACGCACGGCAATAACTTGAGGTAAAGTTAAATAAATGGTAAATAAATATTTTAAAACAAGCTTTAATAGACCCTGGATATCATGCAGCACAAAAGTACTCACCAAGAAGAAACAAATGAGCCCAAAGTCGATGGGAGTTTATCTTGTTTAATTAATAATATTCTATGACCGTCCTCCGGCTCCATCATCAGAACAGCTAAATGGTACTAATATTATTGTATTGTCACTGAAGATATTTATGTACACCAAATTTGAGCCTAATTAGACACGAGGAAGTGGTTCTATTTTAGCTTTAATTTAGATTCGTGTTGAACACACATACATAAAACATTGCAAGTTAAAGAAAGAGTTTGTAAACACGGACAGGGCATCAGAGCTAGGAGAAAACCATTAAAATTGGTACATCAACTGCTCAAATATACTAGAATTATTATTATTTCCAGGGTTGGTATTCACGACTTGCCGTTGTCAGTGGCGTTCTTTACTTCAGTAGAAGTAGATCAGGTTTTAAGAAAAGAGTCGAATCTTAGCTGTACAACACCTTCCAACCCTCATGGACTAGAGAAAGGATATGGAATACCAAACGGCGAATCTCTGAATATATTTGATGTATTAGAGAAATGTAAGTCAAATAAAAAGGCTGAAGGTTATTTGTTTCTTTTTTCAAAGCTCATTTATAACACCTTATTAACACAGAAAGGTGGCAATTATTTCGTTGATTTTCAAAGAGTGAGTGAGGTTTTGGGAGTTAACCTCCCACCTCCTCCCCCTGTTTCAAGGAGGAAAGGGGAGACTCGAGCGGCAACCCAGTTGTGGCAGTATCCATGAGCGGCGTAGTCACTTAAAAACAGGTAACCGTCTGCGCGTTTTCCCCTACTATGCCATAAAATACTATTTAATTAAAAGCCGCACAGGCGCATCCAACACGGTGACGGTGAACAAGTCAAGACGTGCCAAAATGATGATATGACTGTCACTTACCAATATTTTTAGTAATCGGCAAAGCCGCAAAAGACCTCCAGACAGATATATTTCAAGTGACGCCATGAATTGTGCTAAAGAATCAAGGCCAAGGTCATGGACATATCCTGCCGGTTAGCAAGCTGAAGTGGCAGTGGCTTAGCCATATTAGTCGCAGAACCGACAACCGTTGGGAGTAAACGAGTTCTTGAGTGGTGATCTTGACAAACGTAGTCTAGGACACCCACAGGCCAGGTGGAGTGACGATTTGTGCAAGGGATCCGGTCTAATTCCTTGTCATCATATAGGTATTGGTAAAATGCTATGACAAATATGACAAAAAAAATAATTTTTTGAACAAAAAAACAACAAATTACAAAATTCAATAGTATATTTATACATTTCAAAAACTGATACAAACACGAATGTCCCGTTTCGGAACGAAACACGTTCAGATGAAATCGACTTTTACTGAAAAAGATCCCCAATCATAAGGTGCTGGTGTTGCCATCCTTACGGCTCCTAAGCTAGTCTTGTTTACACAATATCTAGCGTAAGGACTTGGATAAAATTTATAGATACCATTTTGATCGGAGTATATAACTATAAATTCGTCTTTCACCTTTTTGTTAACGTGTATTAATTTATTTATAATGGCAATACTGTAGAGGTCTTGGAATTCAATAATTTTATTAACCCTTTGGAATGGACCATCGTCAATGTAAATACCGGTTTTTGCACAGATATAAATGACCCCGTATATATCTTCAGTGATTTGTCTGACTGTGAGTTTATGATTTAAAAAAACACCTTGCTTAGAAAATGTCGCAGGCTTCTCAATTTTATACAATTCTCCTATTTTGTTCGTGTAATAATGAACGAAATGCTTCGAAACGTAATAGTAATCGTATTGTTTAGTTCCGATTTGTACGATCGTTGTTCTATTTTCTATCATATACAAATGATGCGACGGGTAATCTATGTAAAATAATTTATTTTTCATCACAAACATGCACCATACTTTGGTCTTCTTGGCGCCGACAAATTTAGTAGTGTTTGCAGTGACATTGTATTCGTAAATACCATCAGGGCCACCGAAGTACAACTGGTCTTTTAGACGATTATAAAATAAAGTGAATCCTCTCTCTTCTTCAGTCACGTTAAAACATTTATGGGTCTCCAGGTTGCAGCCCACGATTTGTCGTTTAAGATATTCGTTTCCGTGGCTGAAGAATACATGGCCAGAGGACCTGGTAAAACGAAGATACACTTCTTAAATCATCATCCTGGTTACCGAATAGTAAAACATAGAGGGGTACCTTCCTACGACAATGTCAATTTGTATAAATAGTGCGTTGAGAAGTATTCTGCCTTTATTCTGTACTTAACAATCTTTAATTTAAATAGCTTTATGTCTAAATTTTATTCTTTAATTTTCCAACTGCAAAAATATGTTTGTAGGGTTTGACAAAAGCTATATTGACGTAAGCGAAGCCGTAGGCAAAGTGTAAGTAATAAGCCGTAGGTAAACTAGTGCCAACTTAAGTTATTTCACTTACTCATGCACCACCAAATCATAGGCTCTTCCAAATTTTTTAAACAACGTCAGCGTGTCGTAGTATTCGTCGTTATACATCGAACCGTTACAGATCGGCCTAAAAAAACCGTACACTTCCGACACCATCACTAGGAGAACTAGAACGTACGTCGTGAACATAGTGCTAAAACAATAGAAAGAAAATTAAACGGCAAGGAAGAAGCAGCGTCATCTGCTTGCCTTTTCCTGATTTTATTCAGTGTCATTTGAAATCGCAAAGGATCTTAGCTGGTTTCTTTTATGGTTGGCTACCTGTATGACAATAACCCTTCGTGAGTATCTAAGGTAATCGTTTTGGGACGGGAAAAGTAAAAAAGGTGAATTCGAGTAAGGAAATCCAATAGGGCGAGGAAGCCACAGGAAGGAACTTGGATGGAAAAAGGAGACGTACGGAACATGCCTCTTAGAGCTACTGCAGTTTTGGTTGCAGCCAGTTTGCGCCTATATATACCTTTGATTGGAGAGACTAGTAGTGGACACTAGGACATCATCTAGGCAAAAAGTTTGTTTTTGAGTCGCAAAACTAATATAACGAACGTATCGTATTCCCTATCGTGTAGCTGGTCGATTTGACAAAATATTTAAAAATTTCTTCACCGAATTTCGTCGACTCATTTTGTCCGTCTTATACCCCCTCATCATATTTTACTTAGAGTTTAATATCTGGTTTTACACTTACCCAAATTGACTAGCAGAAAATAGGGCTATAAAACTTCCTATATTTTTTATCAATAAAAATAATGTGGTTGAATATAGTTTTTTTACTGATATGGAAACGTGTTGTGATTTTATTTCACATCTTGTGCGCTCAAAATGTATTTGTAATATGTACTTTTAGTGACTTCAGTAAAACCTAATACTTTTTCTCATAATTCGTACTTTCTCATATCTACTAAAGTACACAAAACATAACATATTTTCAAAACCAACACAAATAGAAAAAAATAGAAAGCGATTTTATTTTTGATATTAACATTGACAACATAAAAATTACTCCACCCTCCCTGAGTTCCGCTGGATTAGTCCTTAACTCAGATGTCTTTGGTAGAAATTATATATTTACAACAGGGAATTTGTAGGTAGGTATATTTCTATATATACAGATGTTCCAGAAATTTGTGGTCAAATTGTAGTACAGTCATGAGTAACCGACCAATAGTTCCTTAGATTAAAAAAAATAGTATTCAATAATGTATTATTCTTCTAAATCGTTTAGAACATGCTTTTACTGGAGTAGGTCTACACATTTTTGAGCAGCATGTGAATTTTCATGTCCGTTTGCCGAAAATTCGGACATTCCATAAACATAGGGGAGAGTGGGGTAATTACGAACACTTAAGGGGAAATTGAAATTAAACAAAACCAGATTAAGTTACGAATGTCATTTATTACTTAACATTTACTTTAACTAATGAACCTTAAGTTCTGATAAGCAACATAGATAAACTTTCAATACAGAAACGAATATTCATAAGAAAACAAAACTATGGGGTTCGGGATTACCCCACAACACGGGGGGTAATTACGAACGGTGTGTGGGGTAATCACGGACATAATCTAATCATCACACAAATCACATATAAATCCTTTTGATGAACTTTCACCACTCGTACACTTTTCATGGGCCCATAAATTACATCTGTAGCATTTTATCCAATCTTCATGTTTGATATTGATATTTTTCATCACAAACTAATCAAAAATACTCATTTTCTTTCGCATCTCTTTCTTTGGTTTTCTTTTTCTTACGCAGTACGTCCTTTTCTTGAACCTTTATCTTAATATCAGTATCTGCAAATGCTTGACGATACTTCACACCTTTCTTTGAATCTTTAGTGGAACTAGCAGCCTTTTCCCTTCCTTTCATGTACTCCTTATTTTTCTTTCTTTCTTCTTTTTCTTCTAAAATATTTTTCATATGACTACTGGTTATTATAGCTGAATGTTTTTTTTCTGAAAGTTTGTTTATTTTTTAGTTGTGGCATTTTGGGAACATTAACAATATCTTCAAGTGGGATAGAATTGTCTAACACAGCTTCAGAGGTTACTGGTTTCTGCTGCACATAATTTAATGTCGATAGTATATGTGTATCAGGGTTTACTCTTTCTTCGCCATTTGATGTTGATGCTATCTGCACATCAAGTGTCAACGCTTTGTCAGCTTGAAAATTGACAATGGAATTTTCAGGTGGTAATGATGCATCTACAAAATATTTATCAAATTTATTTGGATCTATTGGCCAAACTGCTTTTCCTAGTGAAAGTTTTTTGTTCTTAACAACCCGAATGGCTCTTTCTAAGTCTTCTAATTTGTATTTGGTCTCCGTCTTTCTTTGGTAATTTCCTGGCATCTGAAACATATTTGAGTAGGTATAAATAAGCTCGTGAGGGTACAGTGCTGAAAGCAGAGAAACATAAAAACAAACTTCCTCAAATGTATTTCATCAAAATTCATCATTATTATCATGCTGCAGACTGCTGGACATAAATTATAAAATAAAAAACAATAATTTAATTGTTCAGGGGTAATTACGAACGGTCGGGGTTACCCCACTGAAATCGTCCGTAATTACCCAACAGACACGTTATCACAAAACTATTTTTTTTTTTTAGGTTAGAATCGCGTTATACACGCGGCAAGTCCTTAGAAACATTCTTGAATTAGGACGTTAATACATAAAAAAAATACCGAATTTATATGTTACACCTAAAATATTATATATCTATTCAATTTTACTCAAAAATTATATGAAATTGTTGAAAAAACAAAAAGTTAACATACCTTTTACACCGAGTGCGTTGTTGCTTCACCACTCTTTGTTCGGCACTACGTTCGGGATCGACTCACGATTGCATTACTCGGAATATCTTCTATCCTTTTATAACATAGCCAAACGAACGTATCCGCGATTACCCCGCGTCCGTGATTCCCCCACTCTCCCCTACTTCATTTATTTCAGCCTTTTTTGTTATTTTCATTCACTAAGAAAGTTATTATAACCGTCAAAGTAAACCTCTAGATACAATTGTTTTTTGTTGCAGCAATTGTGACTAAAGAACAAGTTGCCAGACAATCTATTAACAATAAAAAAATGATATTTTTAGTTATATTTCTAGTAGAATACCATTTGTTTATGAAATTGGGGTAAAGGAACAGACATGTCACTTGGTGGAAAGTGACTACTGCTTCCCACGAACGCCATGCAACTAAGTCAAAAGCGCTTTGTCTCAATGAGTCGAGTAGGCGTTCAGCACTTCAGTACTGCATAACGGCCGGTTGTTACGTAAGCAAGAGATAGATGCTCTTCTTCGTAGAGTCCGTAGAAGTTGTCATAGGTTTGAGCTGGTTTCTTTCATTTCTGGTTGTTTATCTGACCCATATCCTCCTCGGAACTGTATTGTTGTCATGTTAGACAAAGGAATAAGTTAAATTGGAGTAAGAAAAACAGATAGGGTGAGGAAAACTGCATATCTCGAATGGAAAGGTACTAAGAGTAGTTCGAAGAGGCAGGAATCTCGTAACCGTATGTTCGTCCTTTATAAATAATTAGAGAGGCCATTAGAACGACCATATATATGGAACAATATAAACTAAAGCTCATTAAAATAAATCGATTTTTTAAAAGGTCTCTGCCACCACTGATTACTGTAGAACTCTTCTCTATCAGCGGTTTTGTTGCTTACCCATTAGTTACGCAATCCCGTGTGGTTTCATCATCATCATTAACAACCATTAGTATCCATCTGCTAGACATAGGCCTCTTCTTAGAAAGGAGGTTTTTGCCTACTATACTACCCTGGCCAGACAGGTTGGTAAAGGGTCTGAGTCAAGTTTTCCTTCTCTTTGCAATGCTGTTGTTCTGCGTAGTTTGCTCCCTTAATCGACTCTTTGGATACCCACGGGATGAATAGGGTTGGTGACACTCAGTATTCTTATTCTGTCACGAACGGTTTTATAACTTAAATATTTAAGGAGAATCAATAATCTATCTAATCGCCTAATTGTAAACAAAGGAAATCTTGACACTAATTCTATACTAACCCACCTAGGGTTGGTATACAGTTTGTGTCAAGTTTTCCTGCTCTTTGCAGTGCTGTGTCCTGCGTAGTTCTTCCCTTAGTCGTCACACAACCCTGTGTCGTTTAAGTCGGTTCAACATTATCAGGCTTATGTACCTACACATATTTTATAAATTCTTATGTTCGTGTATTAACTTCACTTACTGATTCATCACCAAGTTGTAGGACTTCCCAAAGCCTTTGAACAACTTCTGCACTTCGTATAACTAGTTACGTATTATCGTAAAACTGTCTACTTTAGATATGAACAGTATTACAACTGGCATGTACATTGATGATCAAATGATTAAAGGACGTTTTTACATGTTATATTCTAAAGTCCTTTAATAATATACATTTAAATGTATTGTATACGACAAGCACGTGTAAGTTATAACCTAACAACTAGTAAATATTAAACACTATGTTTTCAATGTCAAGTAAAATTTGACTTATTATAAAGTTTCTTTTTATATTCAATAAAATTACAGATTTGAAGGACAGACCGAAACTGCGAGGCAAAAGTACTGTATTTATGTTTATATTTTGTATATGTATGTTTATATTTTACGCTTTAAAAGTTTACAGGTTACAGGTATATTAAAGCTCCAACATTACAGAAAACCTACTTCTAAGAATATCCATATCAGCCAAAGATTTATTTATACATTCATAGTCGTTACTCAAAACTAAACTATGAATAGCATGCTCGTCTGAATACAATATCATAGACTCGTAAAATGCCATGCCAAAAGGCTTATCTAGATCGCACACTTTCACGGCTTTTCGGCTAGTTTCATTAGTTTCGTAGATACCTTCAAATGTACAAATATATACACTGCCATTAATTTTTTTTACAAGTTGTCTCACATGGAATTGATCATCTATTACAATAAGCTTCTTAGTGGGTCCATGGGGCGGTTCTATTTTGTATAAAGCTGTCATGTTAGAAAGGTACACGTTTAAGGATTTTGTGAGTAGAATATTTTCGACTTCTGCATCTAAAAATTTTAATGGATGTTTAAAATCCCGGTCCTTTACAATATAGAGTGCCTTTTTAGGATACACAATGAAGAAAAAATATTTTCCAGCGATTGCTACACCATATATCATTTTGCCATTGACTCCGATGCGTTTTGCTACCTTTTCAGAGAAATCGTACTGATAAACACCGTCATTACCACCAAAAAACAACTCGTCAGTTTCTTTCTCATAGGCTACTGCGAAGCCTCCTGAAATACCTTCCACAGACCTACAGGTTTCTTCTTTGATGTGACACGCCATAATTTCTCTATTATCAAAGTCGTCACTACGACTAACGTGACTGAAGTATAAATCACCAGTTTTCCTGTTAAAAAGTGCAGAAATGTTTGTAGGTATGTTTAAAGTTAACACCAAATGTTTAAATGAAATAAATTTTTCGAGGTATATTATAATACAGTGTAGAGATAAAACGAATCAGAGCAATTGAAAACGTAGCTGTGAAAACTTTTATGAGATGGGGCAAACTGCTCATGGTGACCAGTTTGCCCCATCTCATAAAACAACAACCTGCACACACCTTAACTACCACCCCCCCCTCCTAAATTTCGCTGGTAATAACAACGACAGAATTGCTTTCCTGTAAGTTCATGTATTACTCAGGTCAAACCGACCCTTATATCCCGAAATATGGCTCTCCCACACTAAAAATACTGTTGGTGGTGGTAAAACTGCTATGATTTAAAAAATATTAACAGTTTTTAAAACTAAAACCTGCTTACAATCTAATGATTACAATCTAAAACTTAATAGTTTTATATACTTTATACAAGCAAGCAACGTCAACTTCCGACTTGTAAAAATATCTGAAAAGATTTACTTACAGAAATAAATATCATTTATCAACTTCTTAAATTTCCAAGTCAAGTCGACAATAACGATGTCAAAGCAGAAAAAGTTAAAGAGATTAAATTAGACGTACTCATGCATCACCATGGAGTAGGATTTTCCATAGCCATGAAATAACATCTGCTTGTCATAGAACTCGTTACCAAACTTTATGAGATGATCACATGTCTTATTTTTTGTGTGATTTTGACGACTTCTCGACATTGAAATCAAGATTAGCATAACTAAGAAGTACATTTGTACCCATGCTGGAATAAAAAAAACTATAATTTACTGTTTGAAACTACAAAAAATTTACCAGTTTAACACTCTAAATTCCAGGAACAAATATTGTGGCAAATATGCCATTGCCACAATATTTGTTCCTGGAATTTAGAGTGTCTTCTTGTGTGGAAGCTTACTGAATAATAATATATACATTTTACATTTTTCTTAAAGAAGTTAGGCGCTGAGATTTATTTAATTCTATCAAAAAAATTCAGAATTATCTATCTGTGTGGTGACGAATTAGAAATACGGGGTGTCAGCACCCCTATTCGACCCGTGAGTGTCGTAAGGACCGACTAAGGGACCAAACTGCAGGACAACGGCACTGCAAAGAGAAAGAAAACTTGAAAGCATACCAACCCGCCTGGCCAGCGTGGTATAGTAGTTCAAAACTTCCTCTCTAAGGAGAGGGCTATATCCAGCAGACAATGGACTAGTAGAGGCTGTTGATGATGATAATCTAAAATTTAAAAATCAATCTTCTGTTTCTACGCACTTTTCATTCAGGCACCTTTCATCAGAGATTGAATAATTAATTCTGATGCAAATGAATGTCCGAGCTAAAGCTAATTATTCTATTTATATAATATTATTTAAGGGGTATTCTAGTTCTTGCTTTAACATTCTATAGAAATAACTCCAAACTCCTAAATAAATGAACTTAAAAAACAATACAATCCAGTCATAAAACTTCAAAATTATTATAATGTTAATATTGACACGGTTAATAAAAATCACAAAGTAAAAATTGCAAATACTTTCGTTATTTTATTTTTCGATTCGTTAAAAGAAAAGACAACCTAAAATTCCAAAGGTATCCCTGGATAGAGGGCAGTTCAATTTGACAAAACATTATAAGGATAGTAGCAGGATCGAAGCCCGATGGACCATGTCCTTTCATACCGTGACTCCTGCTCATCTATTGCCGTATGAAGAGAGTTATTCCACTTGCTTCAGTAGTCAGAATCTTGTTAACTAAGTAGAATCATAATTTAGGGGGACCTACGAACTCGTGATATACCTACAAAGATGCTCGTTTAGGAGTGAAATTAAACTCTCACGAGTACAGACTGAATTTAATACAAAGAAACAATACGTTTATATTGCATGATTATATACATAGGCAAAAGAATATAGCGTTACAATTTCACATAGTAATACACCCACGCATACTGGATGTATGATGATATTCTATATTTTTAATATGTATGCATTAAAACTTACCACCATCTACAATCCCACTGTTATAGGAACGCTGAAAAAACGTTATTTACGTAACTCTAAGTATATAAAGTGAGAAGGCTACAAACACCATCAATACTTTACAGAATGTTTTATGATTGAAAACCAATTTGTGACTTTACACTGCACACTGCACGTATATTATAGGTACGACTGTACGAGTACTTATGGGTAAATAAATGAGGTACTGGTAATACATTGATATACAAAAAAAAGGTTTTTTGTATATCAATGTGGTAATACGAGTATGTTAAGTCATTTGAATAGCTTTTTTTAATTTAGCCGTTCGTACCGCAACATGAAAAATCATCTGCAGTCATGAATTCATGACTTGTGATTCTGATTTCATCATAGACAAAGATAAATGGCATAAAAATCAATCAAGATTTCAAAAAGCTTTCTTTTTTTTAGATTTAGACATTCACTTTAGCAGTGGTTTTGTAAATCAGTCACAGGTGTGATGATATGATTTATCAGATGTGATTGTATTTTATTCCATCCCTAGTTCCTGGGCGTACCATTAGTTGAGTCGTCTGCTCCTCAATCCGACCTGCCTATTGTTATACAAATATTGCTTTAGACACTTATTGTCAACAGACAGTTAATAACAGCGTTAAGGAATAAGGTCGTTTATCCTCGACTAAGAACAACAGTAAAGAATCTTGCTATTTTTAGAATCCCAGCCAGTGCCCGCAGGGCATTATTTTATACTAAAATATGTTTTTTACATTTTTACTAGCCTTTGCCCGCGGCTCCGACCGCGTAAATGTTGGTTATCGCGGTAAAAAGTAGTCTACGTCTTTCCTCAAGACTCAAAGTATCTCCATACCGAATTTCATCTAAATCAGTTCAGCTGTTATTGATTCCAAACACAAATTTCCATCGCCCTTTTCACCCCCTTAAAGGATGATTTCTAGGATAAAAACTACCCTATGTACTTACCCGGGACTCGGACTATCTTTATACAAAATTTCATGTAAATCGGTTAAGCGGTTTAAACGTGAAGAGGTAACAAACAGACAGACAGACACACTTTCGCATTTATAATAATAGTATAGCTTAGTATAGATTTATTAAGGTTCAACAACGTTTGTTCGTAACAATTATAATACTCGTATTGCAAGACATCATTCATAGTTGACACAACTCTAGTGATAGTGACAAATATTAATTAAGAAATATAGAGAACCTAAAAAAAATATTGATGTACTTTTAAAAAATTATAACTGTTCCCAATCATTTTTTTAAACAAAATAGGTACTGCTTTTCATTTCTTCAAGTTTTGCACAGAGTTTATTGTTTATTTTCGCGTCTTTTTAACCCCCGACGCAAAAACGATGGGGTGTCACAAGTTTGACGTGTCTGTGTGTGGGAGTGTTGAAAGGCTAAAAAAGCTCTTAAAAGCTATGATGGATGAAAATCGATCCAAGATGGCCGCCGCCACAAAAAGGCGGCTTACATATTTTTTTCACAATTCCCTTGGCTAGAAGAATACTATACACTATGACAAATTTCAAATCCAAGATGTGTGTAGGGGATTTTTTTTAATTTTTAATTTAATTATTGTTACCCATTACTCATTTTTATTTTTTTTTATTTTATTTTATTGAATCTCCAACAAGAAATACACCTTACATGCTAGTTATAAAGCCAATAAAATTTTAAGTCTTGTGCTTCCTCAATTATAGGAGACCACAACATGGACATTACAAAGAAAGATTAAAGACAGTGGCCACAAATGGCCTTTGTAAATAAGAAAAAAAAAAACAATCAAAGAATCATAACAATCAACTGTGCAAAAAATTGTAGATTATAAATTGCAAATAAGCAGCAGTCAAAATTCAAAATTTAAATGGTAAGGAGGTACGTCAACAATCACACAGTGTTCAATATATGAGTGCGAACATTTTTTTTAAATTTACCCAGACTATTAGAAAAGATGTCTATGTCCTCCGAAGCAACTGAAATGGTGTCATATTCGCGAGTCATCCTAGCAATTGGTGCTTGCTTTCCTAAATTCGTCCGGGCTCGTGGGACCTTAAATAGCGGGCGAGGGTAGCGTGGGATTCTAGTTGGAACACCTATACCGATCTTACTGAGGAGGTCTGGACAGTCAATGTAGTTATGGAACAGTTTATATAAGAATACTAGATCAAAGATAGTACGACGGTCCCTAAGAGATATAAGGTTGAAGTGCGTTAGTTTATCCTCATAAGTCCTTAAGTTCCTAACCCCAAAACGGTAAGCTAGATGTCGGACTAGTCTCTTTTGGATTTGTTCTATTTTATTTATGTGAACTTGGTACATTGGGTTCCATACCGTGCTGCAATATTCCAAATGACTTCGTACATAGCTATTGTATAAAATGATCATGGTAGATGGCTTTTTAAATTCTTTCGAAGAACGTAGTACAAAACCCAAGGCTCGATATGCTGAGTTAGTTATCGTATCATAATGATGTATAAAGTTAAGTTGACTGTCCAAATGTATTCCTAAGTCTCTGATAGTGGTTACTTCTTTTAATTTGTCTCCTCGAATGTTGTACTCAGAAGGGATTTTGTTGCGTTTTCTGGTGAATTTAATGTGGTAACATTTGGCACAGTTTAAATTCATTTTGTTACTGAGACACCATTGATTTAAATTATCAAGGTCAGCCTGAAGTAAACTTACATCTGATTCTTTCAAAATTATACGGGTCAATTTTAAGTCATCTGCGAAAAGATACGGTGTTGAATGTATGAACACTTGCGATATATCATTGATGAATATATTAAAAAATAGGGGTCCCAAATTGGAACCCTGTGGTATACCGGATGTAGCAAAATATGGCTCAGACTGGCTGCCATCAACGGCAACTGAGGATGGCCTGTTGTTGAGATAGGAACTACACCAGCGTAGAGTTGATTTAGTAACACCGAGAGCACGAAGTTTGAATAATAAAATTTTATGATTAACCCTATCAAAGGCCCTCGAAAAGTCGGCATATATTGTGTCAACCTGAAAACCTTGATCAACTGCAGACGCCAATTCTGTAATGTAAGTAACTAGGTTGGTGTTTGTAGACTTATTTACCATGAAACCGTGCTGATTATGGGATAGATATTTCTTCACGTGATCATACAATACAGGATATATAAAACATTCGAAAGCCTTGGACAGGGTACATAGAATGGAGATAGGCCGATAATTAGACACCATATCCCGTTTACCATTTTTGTGAACGGGTACTATTCTAGCCTGTTTCCAAACGTCAGGAAAAACGCCTGTTTTGAGGGAAGTGTTAAAAATTATTGCTATGGGACAAGATATCGGACGGGCGCACCGTGACCAAATTTTTGGAGGTATGTCGTCGGGCCCTGCGCCTTTAGAGAGGTCCAGTCCAGAGAGTTTCTTATACACTGCATCTGGAGTAATAGAAATATCGTTGATGTCTGTTACCGAAGCCGAGCAGGTATAATGATTACTAAAATCGTGATCAGAACTGGCAGGATCAAAGACCGAAGAGAATTGTTTAGCGAATAAATTTGAAATAGAGGTACTGTCACATGCAGTTGAGTTGCCCAACACCATTTTAGAGGGGTAGGAATTATTGCTCTTCCGGAGATTTTTTATATGTGTCCAGAAAAACTTCGGATGTTCTTTTATTTTAATTTCTATTCTTTCTATATAATCATTGTAACATTGTTGGGTATGGGTATGACATTCTTTTCTTA